TAGCTGCTTTCATGGTGCTGCACACAGGGATCTCACATCCAAAATTTCTTCTTCTTCCTGTCTCCCCAGTTCAAACCCAAGCGTGTGGGAGCAGGACTCCCAAAGAAATCCAGCTTGTTCCAGACAGCTTCAGAACTGCTGAAGATCCAGGAGGAGAGTGATGCAAAGCCTGTCAAAAAAGACTGTCCAAGTGGGCAAGACAACAGCAGCTACAGTCTGGAGCTGGACACTAGAAACCCTGTTCTCCAGAGGGAAGAAGCTGCAACCAAAGCAGTGGATGAGAGTGCAGGGGCAGAACTACACCCAGAAAAGAAGGGGCAGCAACCCAGTCCAGACAAAAAAACTGCCCTTGGGGATAGTCCTGCTAAGAAGTTCAAACGCAGCAAGAAGCAACAAATGCTTGCAGAAGCAGCTAAAAAGGAATCACAGGATATTTCCAAATTCTTCTCCCTCCCCAAAGGTGCCTCTAAAGCCCAAAGCTGCAGTGTAGCAAAGGGAGATGGCTCTTCTGCAAGCACACTACCTCAGGTTTCTTCTCAAAGCATGTGTCAAGGGAAACCAACACCTCAGGAAAACAAAGGCTCTGGAGATCTGACTGGGCAGTTCCAGACAGAGAATAAAGAACTGAGAGAAACAGAAGTAACACTGACTGAGAGAGGGGAGAATTTTAAGACCCAGCAGGCTGCTGAATCTGAATTTCTTGAGGAAGAAATGGATGTGAAGACCAGGTAAAATCTCTACTTCTCTGCTCCCTGTGTTGTCCAGAGCCCCACCAGCCTTGTCCTGAGAACCTGTATGAGGTCTCTGGGTGAGTGAGGGAGACTCTTGCTTTACCATGCAGTCTCATGGCCACTGACAGTGAATGCAGAAATATTTTCACTGTGGAATGATTGCAATTGGCCTTCTCTCCACTCTTCCCACTAGTGTTACTGAAAATGTTGCAGACACTGAGCTACTTGTTGTTGGGGAAGGTGACAGTGGGAAGCGGCCAGGATCAGATGAGGTAAGACTTCAAAGAATGCCGATTTCCTCTATTTCTTCTGCTCTTCCTGTGCCAAATTTCTCTCTGGGAGTGACACTCCTGCTCTGACAGTGTCATTTATCTGGACAGGGCCCAGATGTAGTTGCAGCAGAAAGGAGAACCCCAGTTCTGTTGAATTTCTGGTGTTTCTGGGCCGTGCCAGCACCTTGGGCTTCAGTGGAGAGCTTCTCCTCCACTGCTTTGTTCCCTCCTCTGTTCAACTCACGTGGCTGTGCCCTTGCTGGTGACTTGCCTGGAATGAGTGTCTCCACCCCCTGAGATCTGTCACTAACTATAATTAGGGAGCTGCTTTCTCAAGGCAAGGGCACAAGCACAGGCCAGAGACACACAGGACCACTGGGAAGTGATCCCTGCTCACAGCCTGCCTTGCCATTCATTCTCTGCACCACTGCAGTCTCCTTTCTCTTTCAAACTGAGCAGGAGTGTGGCTCTCCTGATGTGGCTGATTTTTCCTGAGGGATGTATTCTTAGCAGACATCCTGAGAAATCTTTAACTCACTTTTCCTCTGTAGGACAGGCTCTAGCAATTAGCTGCCCTAATAGAAGCACAGGGTAGTTCTAAATGTGATATTCTTTAAGGGTTTTTTTTCAAAGTCCCTTTGTGTGGGAAATAGTGTCTGCACAGCAGGTTAAAAGGAGTTATAGGGATTCCCACTTGGTATTCACTGGAGGGAGAGGCTGCAGGATGCTACAAAGATTTGTGTTCTTGGAAAGTGGTGGCTGCTTGGAAGGGCAATGCTGCCACAGGAATTGGTAGGTTTGGTTTCCTTCTGTCCCCTCTCCAGGATATGGAAAGTCCTGCAAAAAAGCGGCTCCGGACAGCGGCAAAATCTTCAATTCTGACCCAGCCAGAGGGCAAAAGTGCTGGTCCAACAAAGAAGAAGGTGACCTTTGACTCAAACTTAGCACAGTGTGATGAAGAAGGAAGCAGCAAGGCCATACAGCCAGTGACCAAAGGCACGTCCCTCAAAGAGACTGCAGACATCGTTGTCAAGTATTTGACCCCATTCTACAAGGGGGGAAAATTTGCTTCCAAGGTAGGATATAGCTCAAAGCCCTCTTTAGCAGAAGGAGAATTCATCTCTCTAGGGATTTGGAGCTCTGAGAAAGGGGAGATGATTTGGATCCCACCTTTTATTTCCAAGTCCTGTTTTAGTAACCCCAGGTGCAGCAATTCCCCTCTCCCACAAAAGGGGAGTGTTGGTGTGTGTTGGTTCCAGACTTCCTTGTGATTGTTCATATTTTCACATTAAACCCTGGCACATTTTTAACTCTCACCTGTGGAGCAGCAACAGCTCAGGTTCAGTGCTGGTGTAGTTTCCTTGGAGTGCCCTGCAAGGCAGGATTTGTGTGCCTGGGCTTCTCCAGCACTGCACAGACAGCTGTGTGTATTCAGTCTAGGAGTGGCTTGTGCTACAGCCAGTCTGAGCTAAGGGCAAAACATGGAAACAAACATGGAAATAGACTGGTGAGGTAACTGGTGTCTGCTTTCTGCTCTTTGTCTTCCTCAATGCTGCAGGATCTCTTCAAGGGCTTTGCCAGGCACCTGTCTCACTTACTGACCCAGGAGCAGAGTCCTGCCCGCAAGACAGGTGGGTCTGGGGTTATTTCAGTGCCAGATGGGTTTATGGCTTTAGAGGGGGCAGATATCTTAAATATCAACTCAAAAGATGGTGTTTCCTTTCTTGTAGTGAAAGAGGAAGCACAGAGACTCATCAAGGAGTTTTTCAAAACAAGGCTCAGGTGTGAGAGTGAGGCAGACTGGGAGGAGCTGCAGAGCTGGGAGAGCTGATCCCTGCTGCTTGTTGGCTCTTCCTTTCCTGCAGCAGCACTACCAGGGGATGTGGAAGAACTCAGTCATGGAGGGTTTTATAAGACTGCAGAAATTAGATTTATTTTTCTTTTCTCCACTGCATTTTTGTTTACCTGTGTCCTTAGTGACACATAAGGAACCAGATTTTGTGAACTCATGGTGAGTTTCCCCAATAAATGGGGTGCTGAAACCCTCAAGGACCAAGAGTTGTGAAGTTGTACCTGCTGTGTTTGTTAGGGGCTGCTGCCTTGGATGTTCTGCACTGTCTCCAACCTCTACTACCTGCAGCAGTCTGGGCAGGGCTCAGACTTTCCACTTGGGATTCTGCTTTGGGATGGCACTTTGCTTTCTAAATGGCTCCTCCCCTTGCTCCCCTCCCTTATTTCAGTGTCACCAGTAGAAGCCTTATGCTACAAGTTTTCATGCTTTGCTCAGGGCTGCCAGTGACAAACTCAGTGTTTGAGTTCCTGGATGGAATATTGTCATTTGAAGGGCAGAGGAAGAACATTTTGTAATTACCATGGAGGTGGTTCTTGCTTTCTAGAGGAGGAGAAACTCAGATTATTTTTCTTTTAATATGAACTTCTTTAAGTTTGTCCAGTTCTGTCTGCCCTTTAATTTAAGTGATGATACTCTTTCAGTATTAACCTCTGCAACACTTCCAGCCTTTGCTTGTAATCCCTAAAGCCATATTTGCTCCCTGTGCCTCACCAAAAGTCTGCAGGACAGGGGGCAGTGCTGCTGTTACAGCTGGGTAAGGTTCTGCTGTGACCCTCAAACTGACACTGTGGTACCTCTGCTGCTATGTTTATATGGAGCCTGAACCTGATTCTCTGGCACAAGTCCTTCCTTCTGGATTTTTGCTGGGTTCTCCCTCTGTTCCATACCTACAGGGGCTGGTGGCCTCAGGCTCTAGTGCTTCCAGAGGAATGTGCAGCCTCAGAGGCTGCCCAGGGGTTTGGATCACTGTATTCCACAGATGTATTTTTTTTAAATATTCTGAAGGGTAGATGCAGAACTGACAATAAAGCAATGTTACAACTGCTGTGGATTATTCCTGGAAGCTTTTTCTTATCATTCAGTCCCACAGACTGGTCAGAGGTACATTAAGCAGCTCTCAAAGGGAAGCACCTGCCAGCAAAAGTCTAACTGTGCATCAGGGCTTGTACTGAGCACCCTCAGATCTATTCCCCTTCCCTGCTGACAGTGACATTTTCCTCAAGCTTTGCCCATTACCTGCAGTAAAGTTTTCCCTGGTTAGATGTAAGATCTATCATATCATGCCTTCAGAACATCTCTGTGATTATTTTATTGCAATTTCCTAAAGGGCAGTTATGCCTCAAGTCATTAGAAGAGCTGTAGCAATAAAAATAAATTAAATACCTTTTATACAACCCAAAACACTTCAGTATAGTACAAGTTCTGTTTGAAGATGCTTCCTCCATGGGCATGGAGCCACCATTGAAGTCTGACAGCTGCATGGCCATGACTGACTTCTTTATAGTGGAGGGAAGCACAGGCATATAATTATGTCAGTGAGAAATTAATTAACAATAAACTTCCTTACCATTGCAGCTCAATCTGTGCCCCAGTGTATGTGCCAATTGTATGATTAACACTGATCTGCTTTTCAATTAGGATGCTTTCTACAAACTCCTGCTTCATGAATCCTGCTACAGGACCTCTGCATTCAGAGACAAATCTGGCTCCTGGAAAATACCAGCAGCCCAGGGGACATTGCACAGTCTCAGCTGGGATACACAAATCTCCAGCAAGCACCAGGCTTTGCTCATGATAATTAATTCAAAACAGAAAGGAGGAGTTGCATGGTGTACAACTTGAAGGCAAGTGCTTACTTTGGGGTCAGCTGTTCTTTGCTGGAACAGGCTGTGTGTGGAGAGGCCCTTGGGGTTTGTTTGGCCACAAGGTGAACTGTTTCAAGGAAGTGCTTGGGGACTGAATGGCAGATCATGAGGGTTATGGTCACTCCATCAACAAACACTGTGCTGGCATTCTTAGAAAGCAGCTGGCTGAGGTCATGGGTGTCTTCTGGGATCTCCCAAGGACATGGGTCAGGAAGCACTGATCAAGTTCAGAGCAAGGGAAATAGTGCTGTTTTCCTTTGTTTTCTCCTCCTTTTAGGCTCTAGCAGTGCAACTCTATTTTATCCAGGATGGCCACAATTGTGTGGTACAGTTCTTTGGCCTGCCAAAACACAAACCAGCATCAATAACCCTTTGCCCCAGAAAGACCTGCTTCCCCTAATTAAATATCCCCAGAGATCACTTCCCATAATCTGCCATGTGGTGGGACCAAGCTGCACTTTGGAGCCTGGAAATGCAGTGTCCCCTTTCTCCTTTGGGACAGGAGAGAGGAGGAGCAGCAACATCCCTTAGCAGAGGCTCAGCTGGGCAGGGGAGTGCCAGCTGCACTTGGGGAATTTGGGAAGTGCCAGGAGGAAGCTACAGGTCCAGGCTGATCTCACCTGTGACAGTTCCACCCACATGGCCCTGGGGCTGCTAGGGGAGCCATAGCTGAGCTCCAGGCCGGGAAGGCCCCCATCAGAGATGGGCCTCAGGGTGCGCATCTTCTGCAGCTCCTTCAGAGGGATGACCTGGGACACCACCTGCGAAAGGGAAAAGCCACCAGCCACTCTCAGGAGCAGTGCCTACACATGAAACCATCTGATTCTCACCACAAGTCACCTCAAGAACCTGTTGAAAGCTGAGGGAAGGTCTGGGGCACAGGGTGGTGTGTGCTGCCCAGCACAGCCCTGGAACTACCACAGGACTGGGACAAACAGGAACGCGTTCTGCATTTAGTTTTACTGTGGCTCGTGCTTGTTAACATGAACTTACAAAAGAGCCCATAGCAGTAAAGCCTGTTCTACACTCTCTTGCTTGGGGCCAGTGCTGTTGTCAGAGTGGCTGTGATGCAGGGAAGTCCAGCCTCTTCATACAGAAGTTCTTCTGAAGTCACAGTTATTATCTGACAGACATCAGGGGGAATTGTCTGACATACCTGGGTGGTGCCATCCACCAAAATGATCTCCTCCTTGTTCACACCAAAGAAACAGGGCACAGGGACCATGTTATCACTGATTCTCTCCACTATGAAGATGGTGTAGCCAAAGAAAGGCAATTTCATCACGTGCTCTGGAAGACAGCAAAAAGTGGTCTCAGAGCAGCAGCTTTCAGCCAGGAATTTACTGCACCTGCCTGGGGTGGTCAAAGCTGCCAGTGTTCCCAAGATTTCCTACATTAAAAAGTAATAGTGACTACTTCTGTCTCCCTTCCTGGCTTCTGAGACTCAATTCTCAGCAGCTTGAGTGGATGTCCTGTCCTTTTCTGACCTGAAAACTATCAATTAAAACACAGCTTGTACAGAGCTCTGAAAATCTGAAAACTGCAAGCTCCTACAAGAGATTGTAGGAGTTGGAACTTCTACCATGATCACCGTGCTTGGGAACAAGATCTAATCCATAGTGAGGAGCTGTCAGGGAATTCCATTCTCATGGTTCATTCCAGGCTCCAAGAATCATCAATAACCTCATGAATTGTCCCAAAAGTGATTTCAGAGCAGCTTCCAGAAACTGAAAACAGCTCATGAGGTGAGCATCATGAGGATGTCTCCTCACCTATGAACTGGATTTTTGCATCCAGTGGCTGGAGGGGCTGCCTTGTTCTCAGCAGTGTGGCCACGTGGTTGTGCAGAGCCTTGAGGCTGATGGAGGGCTGCAGGGTCTTTGGAATGTATTCCTTCAGTTCTTCCCTGTGCCAAAAAACAGATTCTAATTCAACCTCCTGCCCAGCTAAAATCAAACATCAGCCAGGGGATCAAGAGGAAGGAGGGGATGGGGCAACAATTTTCCATTGTAAATCTGGGAAGAGGTGGGGAGGGGAAGAGCACAACAGGTGATGCCTGCATTGGCTAAGGTGGAAGGAACCATCAGAGACAGTGAGACCACCCTTGCTCACAGAGAATTCAGCTGTGCACCACTGACCCATGCATGGAGAGAAATCCCTCCTTTCTGGAGTCAGCAAGAGCTTTTCAGTGACCAGCAGGGTTATGTCATTTCCCTGCTGCTGGAGCTTTAAGGGGATCTGATGGAGGCATTGCCTCAACTCCAAGTCAAAGCGCATAAGGAAAGGAAGGAGTGGCCAAGTACAGCTTGGAACTGCAGGAATGAAGGTTTCCAGTATCCAGGGACACTTTTGTTCCCATTGGGCATCTCACTACAGATTTCAGGTGTCCAGGGTTGAAACCTCTGACACTTGTGAGAGAGAACAGAGGATTCACCCAAACCATGAGCTCATGCCTTTCCTTCTTGGCATTACAAATCCATGGCAATCAAATGAAATGACTGTGGCACCCTCATGACCCTCTCTCTTCTCCAGAACTGGACATTTCTTAATTATTCAGAGAGGACTTCCAGGTAGCTGCCCCTAATCCCTGTGGTGCCTATGGCCACCTCAGAGAGATCCCCTCTACCACAGACATACCTGGAGGGAGCAGAGTTCTGCTGCTCCATTTTGGCCCAGTGCTGGAGCATTGCCAAAAGGCCCACCTGCATCTCCATTTCTTTACTCCGGCTCAGCAGGATCCTCCCATTCAGGTAATCCCACAGCACCTGAGGGACAGCACAGCAAAGAGGCCTTTGTTAGACCTGCCAGAGGGTACAGGCAAGTCTGGGCAGTGCCAGGCTGCACAGACCCACATTCTGCCTTGCTGATAATGCAAAACAAAGGCTCTCAGCTCAGGAAGAGCCTGGGGAGCTGCACAGTGTGTGGAACAGCACTGCTCCAGGCTACAGCTACAGGCACAGAGCCTTCCTGGCATCCATAGCTTCAATGTTTAGTCACTCCCACAAACAGCACACAAAGCCTATCAGCCAGAGCCCTCCTGCTTTTTCAGCCCCCTTGGGACATTCCTGTTGGTTGGGACACCACATCTGTCCCTGCCAGGGAGGGTCCTGCTCTGGCTTACCTGTCCATAATGGACATCTGTGTAAATCTGGTTGTCAAAGTGCAGAGGTGTCCTCCAGATGAGCCTGCGCAAGGTGACAGTGACCAGCTTGTCCTCCAGCAGGTAATCATGCAGATACTCCTCCAATTTTATTGGCCTCACCATTTTACCTACATGACACAGAAAGAGGGTCATCCATCCCCCTTGGTGGAGAGGCTGGGACAGGAGCCTTCCTGTACACCTCAGTTCCACCCTGCCCTGAGACTCCAACCATCAGCCATTCCAAAGGGACATACTCCATTCAGGAACAAGCAACACAGCCCCTGAGAAGGATCAATCCTTAACCCTAATACAGAGGGAAACTCCTTAAGAGGACCTTCCCAGGAGCCAGCAAGGGTGGAGGGACTATTCCAAGCAGGAGCAGTGGTGCTCCCTGTTGCAGAGGCTGCTGGAAGAGAGAAGTTCTATGCTGGTCTCTACTTGCCAAGATTTTTGTCGTCACTCCTGATAGCAAAGAGAACAAAGTCCTGTATCTCTTGCTGTTCACCTATTCCCATCTGCTCACAGATCTCCTGCAAGAGCTCCTTGGCCACCTGAAGCAAGGAAAGAAGGAAATAAATACCATGACAAGCCCAAGAGCAGGTAGACACATTATTCCTTGTCAGATAAGGGATTTCTCTGGTGTGGCTCAGAGTCCAGAGCAATGGAGGAATTCACAGCTGGAAACTCACAGTGAATGTCCTGATCCTGGTGAGGTACTCCATGCCTCCAGGCATCAGCACCACCAGCCGGCGGGCACCGTGTCCCTTCTGCAAAGGACAATGCTCAGGCAGCAAGACATCCCAGCAGGGTCCCATCAGCCCCACACGTGCTTCTCCCTCTCCTTCCTCATCCCTGCCTTCCACTGCTTGTCCACAGCTCCTGCCTCTTCCCTTGCCCACTCCATGGCACTGCACTTCCCAAGCTCCTTCCACCCACATGCTCCATTTCCTTTCCTGGAACTGCCCCTGTCACACTGCACGTGGCACCTCCAACAAAACCTCTTCCCTCTCCCCCTTCCCAGCACCCACCCCACTCCCCTGCCCCTCCATACCAGCAGAGCCTCCATCTCCACAGGGAAAGGGAGGTGCCGACGGCCCCCGTACAGGAAGTTTTTGCGCAGGTTGCTCTGGCAGATCTTGGCTATATCTGCAGGAAAAGGAAAAAGCTCCATGTGCTGAGCCAAACAGAGCTAAACATTGTGCCCTGTGGTGTTGGGTCATCCTGGCTGGGTTGAATTTAACTCCTGGTCACTGCTAGGGGAGCAGAGACTTGATCTCATCTCCCACCCTGCCAGGACACATCCAAACCATGACAGTGTCCAGGACAGAGGAATGACAGGATGGGGGGATTAGATCTGGAATATTTGCTTTACAGGGCACAAACAAGTCTTACCATGGTGGGTGCTGGATGGATCACTGCTGGCCAGCTGCAGGAACTTGGTGGCATAGGGCATCAGGATTTTGGAAGGCAGGAAGTACCCAGTGAGCAGGTTTAGGAGCAACCAGCCCCGCAGCTCGCTCTCCCTGCGGATCAGAAAGGACTGTGGGCACCTTGGGACAAGACAATTCCCGCTCTGAGCAGCTCAAAGTGAGCTTGTGCCCTTCTGAACACCTCTGGCAGCTGGCAGAAAAGGAAGTGTCAGCCCTTGGTCAGAGGTTTCTTGTGCTGAGCAAGAGATTGATTCAGTTATTCCAACAGCAAGCAAAGAAAGGGAACAATCAAGGCCACTCCAGTTCCACAGCTGCCACCTCACAGGACAGCGTGGGGCCAAGACAGTCCTTGCCTGGTGTTTACCAATTCCCCAAGGCTGGGAGGAGGAAATCAGGGCTCTGAGAAGCACCATAACCAGGAGCCACCAGGAACATTTACTGGTGCCCAGATAGATCAGCAGCCAGAAATATAAGGAAAAATATCCACTAAAGTGAAAATGCAAGATCCAGTGACTGACAAAATGTTCTGAGTGCTCAGCAGGAGCTTTAGCAGTTGCACAGCTGGGGACAAGCCATCATGAAGGGACACCCTCTCCCCTGGCCCTGGTGTCCCTGCAGCAGATGGTTCCTCTCCAGCTGTGCACACACAGGAGCTGGCAGTGCTGGTACTCACTGCTGAGGGTTGTGGGTGACCTGTTTGATGACCTGGCAGTAGATCTCATCGTGTAAGTTCTCCTTTTCCTTGCACCGCTGCATCCAGAGAGGAGAAAACAGCATCAGAGAGGGGATGAGAGCATCAGAGATGTCCCCAGGTCATCTCTGTGTCCTTCCTCTCCCAGCTTCAGAGCTCTGACAGTTTGGCTTAAAGTTTGGGCTTTGCAGCCTCTGGTCCCTAGAGCTATTTAGGCTCAAAGAAGGAGAGAGGAGAGCAAGCTGTACTCTCATCCAGACAGTGATATCCAGGGAAACTATTTACATACAACCCCTCCCCACAGTCTGTTTCAGCTCCCTTCCTCATGAAGGAGGTGCCATTATGGCTCTCCCTGCTCTTTTCCTTCCCAGCAAGGTCTTGGCCCTCCATTCCCATTGGTGCTTCTGCTCTTTTCCCAGGGGAAGCTCACAAACCTGAAGGATTTCATAGATGCATTGGACCTCAGCCTGGTGCTTGTGTTTTGGCTGATCTCCCATGAACTGCATCAGCGCTGCAAGGCAAAGCCTGGCCTTTAGTCTGAGCAGGGATGGTTCTGCCATGGGGCTGGCAGTGGGCAAGGAAATGTCCTGAAAACTTCTCTGCTGTTACAGAGCTTACACTGGACATGTGGCATCAGCCCAAAGCCCAGGAAGTGTTCAAGGTACTTTGTTCGAATCACCTTGTACTCAAGGCAAAGTCCCTTTTGCTGCAAGCTTTCAGCAAGCACACAGGGGGTTATGAACTGCAGAGATGCCTTAGAAGGGGCCCTCCTCACCCAGTTTCCACTCCCACTGAGCCCCACAATGTCTGTGTGTGCCCACTCTGACCACCCCACTGCCTCCCTCTGCAGTGCTGTGTCCCAGGGAGATCCTTACTCTGGAAGTTCTTTGTAGCCAGCTCGTTCAGCTCACTGTCAGAGTACTGGAGCAAAGATGCCTGGATTGGGACCTGCAGGGCCAGAATACAGGGATAAAGCAAGGCTGTGGATCACACAGAGCTGTGGGTCACACAGAGCTGTGCGTCACACAGAGCTGTGCTCTGCAGGGCTATGGGTCACACAGAGCTGTGGGTCACACAGGGCTGTGGATCACACAGGGCTGTGCTCTGCAGGGCTGTGGGTCACACAGAGCTGTGGGTCACACAGGGCTGTGGGTCACACAGAGCTGTGCGTCACACAGAGCTGTGCTCTGCAGGGCTGTGGGTCACACAGGGCTGTGGGTCACACAGAGCTGTGGGTCACACAGAGCTGTAGATCACACAGGGCTGTGGGTCACACAGGGCTGTGGGTCACACAGGGCTGTGGGTCACACAGGGCTGTGGGTCACACAGAGCTGTAGGTCACACAGGGCTGTGGGTCACACAGGGCTGTGGGTCACACAGGGCTGTGGGTCACACAGGGCTGTGGGTCACACAGGGCTGTGGGTCACACAGGGCTGTGGGTCACACAGGGCTGTGGGTCACACAGGGCTGTGGGTCACACAGGGCTGTGGGTCACACAGGGCTGTGGGTCACACAGGGCTGTGGGTCACACAGGGCTGTGGGTCACACAGGGCTGTGGGTCACACAGGGCTGTGGGTCACACAGGGCTGTGGGTCACACAGGGCTGTGGGTCACACAGGGCTGTGGGTCACACAGGGCTGTGGGTCACACAGGGCTGTAGATCACACAGGGCTGTGGGTCACACAGGGCTGTGGGTCACACAGAGCTGTGGGTCACACAGGGCTGTGGGTCACACAGGGCTGTGGGTCACACAGGGCTGTGGGTCACACAGGGCTGTGCTCTGCAGGCTTCACCACCCAGGATCCCACAGGCAGCACCAAAGAGTAGGGGACACCAATACTCATCCAGAGACCACAGGCAAGGATCTGCTCTTTGGTCATGTGGGGACAGAGCCAGAGGCAGTGCTGGAGCTGGGATTCTGGCTGTGGCCAGGGCGAGAGGCTGAGCTCACCTTGGTGTGTCGCACCAGGTCAGCAACACTCTTCTCAGCAGATGTCCCCTTCAGGCCCTGCCTAGACAGAGGAGAGGGAACATGCAGTCCAAGAAATACCCCCAGAAACAGCCTGGTCAGGCTACCCAGGTCCTGTTTGAGAAGGAGCACAGCCTACTCACAGGGACTGGGCCTCTCGGAAGTAGGCGATGGCGAAGTCAGTCATGGTGTAATGGTCACCAGCAGTGACTAACATGCTGCTGGTGGCTTCTGGTGTCAGGCTGAGGACAGAACTCTGCAGGAACACCACCAAACATCAGCTGAGGAACTGCAGTGTGCATTCTCAGCTGCCAGACCTCACCTGTGTATGGTGCCTCCCATCCAACACTGTGATGGATTTGAGTGTCTCATCTGCAAAGACTCATTATCTCCCCTCTGCTCTCAGAGGTCAGACACTACCAGAGCCATGGACCCACCCTGGCAGCTCCCACAGAACCCAGCCATGTCCCCTGGGTGCTCCTCCCCAAGGACTGCTCACCTCCCTGCTGGTGTTCCTGCTCTCTGGGGAAGCTTTCGTGCCCTTCCGCTGCTCTCCCCGTCTGTCCATGCTGGTGCTGAGGTAGTCAGGGGCAGGAGCCAGCTGCACCAGGCTGGTGGGGAAGAGACCACAGCGGCCACTGGTGGAGCCGAACTGCCACCCTGGAAAAGCAGCAGAGAGTCAGGAACCAGGGCAGCTGCTAAGAGAAATGGGCACTGAAGCTCTCTGCTGGCAAAGGAGAGCATCAGATTCACCAGGTTTTCCTACATCCTAAGGAAACATATATATATATATATATATACAACATATATTCCTGTAACGGAGGCAAATGGGACAAAGCTTGTCTGGCAGAGCTGGAGGCTGATGATGCCAGCCCACCCTGTCTTCCTCTGGTTCTGGGCACCATGGAGCCAGCAGGCCCTTGATCCTGGTCCTGCCAATGCCACCACACCCCCTCACCTGGCTCCACGCCCTGCATGGGCAGCAGCTCAATGAGGTCGCCCTTCTTGAAGCTGAGCAGGCTCTTGTCATCCACGATGTAGCTGCGCAGAGCCACAACATAGTTGGTGTCCTGGGGAAAAGGCCATGGCCAGGTCAGATCTCATCCCAAGGATGTGAAGGGTTCGGATCATGTCATCCCATGGACACTCTCGGGTTCATCTGGGAAGCCACCTTCATTCCCTACTCCAGCTGCTGCCTCACCTGCCTCAGCTCCTGCATGAAGAGTTCCACCATGGCCTTGATGCACGGAGCCTTCAGAGAGTGCAGGATGAGCTGCTCTGTCTTCAGGGAGAACTCCAGGGAATGGCTGCCTTTCACCTCCACTGACAGCACATCTGCAAAGCTGGGAACACAGCGTGCTCAGGCTCCTTCTGCCAGAGCTTGGGATGCAGAGCGTGGGCATGGGAGCCCAGTCCAAGGACTGGGAATGGAGACACGCCTCAACATTCTCCATGCTGGCCTTCCACCAGCTGCTCAGGGCTTTCACCCTGAGGAGCTCCCTGTGGTGACACACACGGAGCTGATTCACACCCAGCACTCACTTGTAAGCAAAGCTCAAGGTAGGAAGGAAAAGGAGAAGCCAGACTCATTAAAATGAGGGTCAGTGAGTCACAGCTGGCCTAGGATAATCCTAGAGAGCACAGCACTCAGAATTTTCAGCTTCCCCATTCAGTTTGCCTCCAACACCCTGCCAGACACAAACTGTCCTCCTGCAGCAGCCAGGGCCCTTTTGCTCACCCATAGCTGCGTAGGATCTTGAGGTGCTCAGGATGGTATCCAGCTGCTTTCTCCACCTTCAGCAGCCTCATGCCCCGGTGAGAAACACCCAGGATCTGCACATCACTTCCCTTTTCACCCTGTAAGGGAAGTGCAGCACAAAGAATCAAGGGCTCCATCCCACCTGTACAGGAAGCACCAGGGAAAGGAGATGCCACACAAGAGATGTGAAACCCTGCAAGGTTTGGAAGGTACAGAATCACTGCAGTGTGGCCAGGCAGCGGGACAGAAAGGGTGAACTGGAGACAGCTAAAGCAAGCCCAGGGTCTGGTGAGAGAATTAAGACTCACCTGAACTGGGAAAAGGCGGGAGAAATAGTTGGCCCAGTTGTCCCGAGCAGCCACTACAATCCTCTTCTTTATCCCGTCCTCCTGAATGGACTGGGCATTGTTGCCAACTCGGAACTCCGCTAGCAGGGTTACAAAACAGTTACTTGCTCAGAAAGACAAAGGTGGCCAGGTCTCCCTCTTCCCACAGACTCATTCCCAGCAGTCCCTCTGTGTTCACAGCACAGCAAACCACGTGCAGAGTGGGAAGGACTCTTGCACATACAAGTCTGCTACTGGTTTCCATCCCTCTCTCCATGAACATCATGTCAGCTGGAATTTGAAACAAGTCAAAATCCTATCCTTGGGCTTCAGTTTTCTCTCCCCACTATAAACATTTCAGAACTAAGTTTTTCTGGCTCACAGAAATTCCAGGGCCATGTGGAATAAACAAACATTCCTCCACTGCACTCTACAAATGTGCTTTCCTGCAGCAGTGACAAACATTTCTCCTCTGCCCTAAGTACTGAGTGAAAGGCTTGGAGGCCAGTTTCTCATTCCAAACCAGAAACTGGGATGGGCACAGAGGGGAAGGGCTGATGGGGCTGTTAATTACTCAGCAGGTCTTTCATCTTGCGCTTCTCCTCCCTGGAGATCCGAAAGCTGGACTCAGAGAAGGTGTCACGGATGATCTGCAGAGGAAGGGAACAGAGAGGCTTCCACTGCAGAGGCCACACCTGGCTGTGCTGGAGCATCTGAGGCTGTTAAAGTGAGTGTCAGAGAGGAGTGAACAGGGACTGGACTGGATGGACCTGGAGAAGAGACTTGCACTGCTCGAGATGGAGAAGTGAAAGTAATTTATGCAATGTAATTATGGAGTGTTTTGTCCCCTGAAAGACAACTGGCCTTGAGCCACACTCCAGTGCTTACCTGTTCACACAGCAAGTTCAGACAATAAGGGTGGCTGAAATTTTCTTTGGGGTAAAACACCTGCAAGAGAAGGGTAATAGTGGTGTTACAGATATTGCAGAAGCAGCTCCCCAGGGATGTTTTGCAATCCATATGCCCTGCTGCCAGGGAGGAGTGAGTTCATCTCCAGGGACAGACAGGGAGGAGACACTGTAAATATAAACAGAAGGAGTAAAGGACCAAAATCTGAGTGGCCAGACCAAGGGATGAGTTTAGCACACTCTCCAATACTTGATTTTAAATATTAATACTTGATATTAAATATTTGTACTATTTTAACAGGAAAGCAGCAGGCAACAACAAATTCAGTTTTGGATTTCTCAGTGGTCTACAGAGGAAGGAAAGAACAGATAGAGAAACTGAGACACAAGTGTCAGTGAGGCAGAGCAGAACCCAGATTCCCCATGGCATGATCCCCTGCCTCCAACTCCTGTGTCCGTGCTCCCAGAATTATCTTTGTGCTCTTATCTTACATTGAGTGTCTATGACCAAAAAAACCACATTTTAACCAAAGATGGGACGAGTTCCCCCCCCAGCTACTCCTCAGATAAGGAACTGAACCTCTTTGCGCAGAAAAATTTTCCAGGCAGGGTCAACATAGGAAAAGCTGACACTGGCAGTGAGACTGTACAGCTGGGTCTTGATCCCATCATCGCCTGCCACTGTCACAGCAGAGTCTGTGTGGGGAGAAAAAGCAGTGAAGATGGGCTGTGATGGGTTACAAGGCCCTTTCCACCCACCAAAGACCAACCAGGAGAAAGGGGACAGTTCCTGATGGAATGTTCCAAACATTCTTAACGTGTCCAAGGTCTTCCAGGCTCAGCCTCCCTCTGAGAAACATTCCCTCATTCCTCAGCCTGTCTCTAAGATCCCTCCAGAGGTTTGTAAGGTGAAAGACCTGGCTTCCCATTCCTCCCTGGTCTAAAGTCCACCCACTATTGCCACTTTGATAATTATGCTGCAGGCAAACAATAAAAGTATTGTGAGCTGGACCTTGATAAAGCTGTAGCCCAATGGACCTTTCTATTTTTAGCTGCATTTTTCAGAAGGGAAGAGTGAAGAGCTGGGAGGTGCCACGCTGGAACTGTGACATCTCCCTGCTCACAGATCAGATTGCACCATCCCCCTGGCCTCACACAGCTCCCTCAGTCCCTGGCCCACTGGCTGATGCCAGGACCTGTGCCATGGCTCTCCTGGGCTGATTCCATTCCCTCCCTGTCCTGCTACCAAATCCCACATGGGGGAAATCAGTGCTCACCTTTCCCTGTGGATTCCTGCCTGCCTTGGTCCTCAGGTGTTGGCTGGGGAAGAAGGGGAGCACGAGGGGCCTGGGAAGCTGGTGGGGCACCCTCTGGTTTGAAGATGGACAGGAGAGGCAACTGCTTTTCCTTGATAGAGCTGGAAGCTGGCCCTGGCTTGGGTTTGACAGGTGGAGGTGTTTTCTTCTCCTGTGGCACAGGAGATGGCTGCAAGACAGCAAAACCCATTGAGCCAGTCGTTCCCTGCATTCCTGGGCTCTGTCCTGACAATCCTGTTCTAACTCATCCCAGGGCAGAAGCCCACCCCTGGAGCAAGATCTGTGTGAACAGCCCACCAATGCCTTTAGATCAACACAAAATCCACAGAGATGATCAACCAAACCCAGAGGACCGAGTATTTGAGATCAAAGCCTCCAGTTTGGAAAGGAAAAAACAATGTTAACAAGCCAAAGCCTTGGTACCAAATGTGGAGAACATAAGTTGCTTGGCTCCAGATCAGCCTTAAGCATCTCACAATAGGACTTGCTGCTCCAGAGCCTTTTCTTCAGATGACTTTACAGACTGGAACCCAGTCTAGGATGGGCAGCACCATGGTGTGAGCTCTCAGCTATCTCACAACCCAACGAGAAATCACCTGGCTGCTACTGCAGCACCAGGGAGATCCCAGCCTGCTGGAAATGGGATGAGCAGGCTCTCTCTGCTGAGCTCCTGAAGTAACCAGAGAGCAAAGAACTCACTGATGGCTGAGGTGAGGGGTTCATCATTCCCAACTTGGCCAGAGCTTCATTTTTGGGGTCATTCTTCTTTATAAATGGCTTGGATACTCTCCTGCAAGGGAACAGGGAACAGCATTATGGGGTTTGGTCAAAATGGAGCCAGGTGGCAGAGCTGAGATAGAGAACCCCCATCTCCCTCCTGCCCACAGGGGGATCCCACACTCTCACCTGATGGGCTGGAAGGGCTGGGGCTCAGGGGCTGGTCTGCTCTGGTACATTTTGATGATGTTCCCGATCTCATGGCTGGGTGCAGGACGAGACTCAGGCCCTGAAGACTTCACTACAGGTGGCTCTTTCTTTGGTTTTGGTGTCTCCATTTTTGGCTTTGGTTTAGGAGGCGGCAGAGGGGAAGCAGGAGCTATTGGGATGACAGCTTTAATCAACAGACAGCAAAGACACAAGAGAAATCCCTTTATCTCATTTGACCTTCCCTTTCTTTCCCTCTGATGCTGACAGGCAATAGCCTGACATTCCTCTTTCCTCTCCTGTCAGATTCCCAGAACAGCCAGATCCTTTCTTCCTCTGCCTAAATCCTGACCTTATGCTCCTGGAAAATTCTTCCTTGTCAACCTTTGGGTCTCCACTGCACAACATTTTACCTGGCTCTGCTTTAGGGACAGGCTTCACTTCTTTCCTCTTCTCCAGCTCCTCTCTTTTCTCCTCCTCCTTTGGCTGGGGTTTTGCTGGAGGAGTCCAGGTTTTGCTAGGTCTGACTTTCTTTACTCGGGTGTGCTGCTCTCCTGCATAGAAAGGGGGACTTGAGCCAGTCAAACCCACACCAAAAACCTGGCACTGATGGCACGGTTCCCATTCTTGCCTCAGTCAGCAAAAACCTTTTTTCTAGAGTGAGGGAGAATATGGCAGTCACAAGCTCAGAGATTTCTAGAACACTGGCTCACAACAGGTCACAATCTGAATTATAGCTAGCTGAACAAGAACCCCAAACTCCTGTACACACATCACCAGCAGCTCCTGCAGGGATTAGCTGGATTTCAGACAGGGAGACAAGAACACCTGGGCATGCCAGGAAAGCTGCAGAGCAAGATGTTATGATGAGTGAAATTCCCAAAGTGGCAGACGCTCACCCATCTTCTGGAAGTACTCTCTCTTCTGCTGGAAGGTTTCCTGAGGATAGTCATCATCCTCACTGCTGGAGAACTCCTCTTCTGTGTAGCTGTAATCCTGCAGACAGTGCACCACTCATTTAGCTGGCACCAGCCAGCAGTGCCCTTCAGCTCAGGGGTGATTTTGTCTCAAACTGTCCTGATCTAGATCCTCTCCACACCCAGGAATGTCCCAGCAGGTCAGTTTCTAACACAAAGAACCCTCAGCCAAGCACAGAGAAGAGGGATTATGTTAGAGGCCCAACACAGCTTGCTGGAAGATAAGGAACTCAGAGTAATTAATTCTCCTGGAGAAAAATTCAGCTTAACTGGAAATGAACTGGCCAACCCTGCAACCAAACCTCCACATAGCAAAAACCACTAAGGTTTGATCCTTAAAGACTCAGCAAGCAGAGTTTGGAAGGTCTCAGTATCATCAGTAAGCACAAATCTCTGCTCTCCTCTCTGCCAAACCACAGCCACACATGCAGAGCAAACACCAAACATGAAATTCAAACCAAATCCACCACGGCTGTTTGTTTCCCATACCGGCTCTTTTGCCTTAGCTGGTAGCTCTGGAGACCTTGATGGTGTTGCAGCAGCCTGGCTGCTGGAAGGTGTCTTGGGTTTTGGGACAGTGGCTGGGGCTTTTGCTGAGCTTGAGGCTCTTGGCCTTGAGTTCTCAAGAGACTTTTGCCACTTCTGCAGCTCCTGCTGCTGCTGCTGGGAAATGCTCATGGCTTGAAGGGTCATCTGCTGGGCCTGGGGAAGGAATTGCAATGTCCATGAGCTCTAGGCTACACAAACCCAGCCATCAGTCACAGGCTGTCCTGCTTTTTCACAGTTAATCAACACCAAAACACCCACACAGTGCACAGCAAATTTCCCAGTGTGTGGACAAGGGAGTCTTCTTCCACCTGGCCAAGGATGCAGAGCTCCCAGCACCCCCCAAAGGCTCAGCTGCCAGCCTGGGACTGCCATGCATTCACATGGCTTTGCACAGAAAGCAGAACACTGCAGACCTGCATCTGTAGCAAATCCACCCTAAAACCCCACAGGAATTACAGCTGAATCTTCTCAGGGCCTGCTCCCGTCCCTGCTCCTCTCTCACTGATAGTGCCTCAGTGTCCCCATGGACACAAAGGGGGTAAAAAGAGGGTTCCCAGTTGTGCAGTCTTAAATAATCCCCACTTTTCACCCCAGCACGAGCACAGAGTGACACAGAGCAGGCCCAAAGAGGAGGAGAGCTGTCCTCCCCCTCCAAGGCATAAACACCAATGTGTGGCTCTTCCCCAGGTCCTGGAGCCCTTCCACTCACCATGAGCATGGCTTGCTGGTTGATAAAGGCTTGCTGCTGTGCTGCCAGCTGGCTGGGATCTACAGCTGGAACCACGGGCTGGGGCACCACCATGGCTGTGGGAGACAACACACACAGCTTTAAAAGCCTACATGTGAACATGAACATGTGAACAGAGTCTGAGCATCAGCCTGGAGTGTTCACTGAGCCCCTCACCTGACACTGAAATGCACAGGCTTCACTGACAGCCCCTCTTCCACCCCCTCTCCTCTGCAGTTACAGAAACACTGCTGTTACCTGGCATAGGTGCAACCCCACCAGCCCCTGGCATCATGGGCATGGCTGCTGGCATCCCCACCATGGAGGGCATGGGCTGGTAAACTGGTGTTTGAGTCATTCCAGAGAAGCCTAGAGGCAAAACACCAAAGTGCACAATGCTTTGGAGAATCCCAAATTAGAATATCCTGAGCAACCCCAGAGAACACCTCTGGTGTTCTCCATATGCACCAACCACAGCAGGACACAGCAAAACACAGATGGAAAAAGAAAACATAAGAAAAATGTGTGACCTGCCAGATTTTGAATAGCAGTATCCAGACTCTGTTTCTGCAGCCTAGCTTAGGACACCACCATTCTTCATGATTAAACTGATAAATAATAAACTGATAAATAATTCCTGCCTGTGTAGATCACAGATGGTTTCTCTTGAGAACTGGGCAAAGATCTCTGGGGCTGGGACTGTCACATATTGGTCTCTTTGCAGTGGGTGGCAAGGCTGGATGAACAATGAGCCCTGGCCTGGATGGCATTGTGTGTCATGGGGAGGAGCTGTGGGGAGAAAGGAATTCCTCTGCTCTCAGCAGTCAAGTCCCAGATGGGGTCAGGAGCAAATCCTGCTGAGTTTGAAGCCAGCAGAGCAAGAGGTGTGAGGGTCAGACTGGGCTGGGAGGAGTCAGCACACAGCACAAATCTACTGAATCATGATGTCCTCACCAGTGAGAATAGCCCTGGGATGCCATGGGAAGATCATCATATACCCCACTCATCTAAGAAGCCACATAAGTGACAAAGTGGCCTCAGGCCAGTGATTTGTAAAAGGGCTCATCATGCCCCAGAGCCTCTCCAATAGCCAGAAGTAGTCCCTGTCTCAGGAATGACTGAACTGGACATCCCCCACCTTTCTGAGACTGCTGGGTGTGTTCCTACCCATGCAGATTTGTCACTGCCATTAATATATTGGTGCTTGACTCCACCCTGCTGCAAATGCCACAGTCTTAGCTCCACAGAAATGAGGAAAAGTAAAGAAACCAAACACACAAACCAGAACCTCTTCAGGGTTCAGACTTACTAACCCAAGGAACAGTTACCAATGATGGGAAGTTCTGTAAGGATGTAGTAAGAGAGATTAAAACCAGCCCCAATAAAGGCACCAACTGCTCTGTGAAAGCATGGGGTGAATAGAATGACTTACAAGTATTTGTCTAGGGAAGAGGTTGGCTGGGTCAGAAACAAGCTACCTGCTGCCTTGACTCCAAGACCAGATCAAAAGAGAAATTAAAAGCCCAACAAAGTTGTTCCCTTATCTAACACCTTCTTCCAAAGCATCTGTCTCACCTGGGGGTGAGGAGTGCAACCTACGCTAGAGCCCAGTGCTCTGCATGAACCAGCTGAACATGCAATAATTAGCATTTAAGGGGCTCCCTGACTTGTGCTCACTGAAGGTCCTGTGGTCCCAGGTGTTCCCAGCTGTCCCCATGCCCTTACAGACCTGTAGAGGGAAGGATTCCTCTCTGTGTGGGTCCGATCTTGCCACCTCCTTTCATGCGTCTGGTGAGAATCTCTCTGTTCTCCATATCCTGCATCAAAATAAATCCAAAACAGTTATCAGAGCTCAGAGAGACAGACTTCCCAGAGGGACAGACATTGAAATGCATGTCTGAGCTGAACAGGGGTAGTGAATATGCAGGAAAAGCTCGAAGGACTCACAGGGACAGGAAAGCTGCAGACAGAAGGCAGGAGGGAATATCAGGGGACTTACAGATACTCTGGAGCCCTGATGTAGCACAGGGCTGAAGAGATCATCCACATAGTGATCCAAGCCTACAGGGGTACTCAAGTCATCTCTAAACCTTGAATCTGGGGGCAGAAAGAAGTCTGGTGACAAGGCAGGTAAGAAACATTCCCCTGCCTCCAGTCCCTTTAGTCATCTTTCAGAAGAATCACCTGATTCCCCCTCTGCCCTGATGGGCTGGGCCCGTCTGGCCCTTCCCAGTGTCAGCCACAGAACTGGGCTAAAGCTCACCTGGATGGACACCAAGAAGTTCTGGAGGCAGGCTGGGTGGGGGGAAGGCAGGGGCCTGGATACCTGGAGCAGGAGGGATCCTGTTGAAGAGGAAAATGAGATGAGGAGCAGAGTGCTGAAAGGTGGGTGACAGGGCCACAAGTGGTGGGGCAGGAGGAATAGGTGGCTCACATGTCCAGGTCAGAGGACTGCAGGATGCTCCTGTCCCTTTCTGGAGTGATGGGGTACTCAGTGGGGGCCTGGGAGGAGCTGCTGAAGTTGCTGGTCTCCTCCATCTCTCCAATGAGGTCCAGCACAAAGTCACAGCCCAGCAGGTCCTGCCACGTGTTTCCAGTGAACATGGAGACAGACCACCCTCGAGTACTCTTGTCACAGCCCCTGGGAGAGGAAAGGTGTCCAGGCAGGCAGGGGAAAGGGAGTGGAAGGAAAACACTACATTCAGTTTTTTCTTGCCTTGTTTATCCTGGCTTAAACCCTTTAGAATTAGGGTGTGAACCAACTATTAAGTGCTCATGGTTAGAAAAAAAACTAGAATAATTCAAGATTTGTCCTTTTTATTTTTTTTCTCTGAAGCTGCTCTCACAGATCACACCAGTAGCTCCTCTGTTCTTAAAGATGCCCATGGTTTATGGTTGAGGTTATGTTAAGGGTGAAGAAGGAAGCACAGGCTGGAGTGGGCAAGAAGTGAGTATTCTACACATGACCATATAAATCCCAGCCTGCAGACCAAACCAGTCTGGACCTTAGAGCTGCTGACAGCCTCTCTCACACCCCCAGACCTTCCCCCATCCTCTGGCAGTACCTTGCACTCAGGATCCAGGCTGCATACTGCTCCCCAGTCATCCAGGACTCCACCTCAGCTGAGAACTTCTCCTCTGGCACAGAGAGCAAAGTCAGTACCCACAGCCTCCCTGGCAGGACCCAAAGCAACACCCACATTCCATGGGACACAGGCAGAGCCTGGATGGAAAGTCTCACTCACTCCTGAGCTGGACCACAGGAGGACTGAAACCTCTCCTTCCATAGGAGAAGGCTCCACATGGACACATTCACATCCAAAATATTTGTTTGATGGCATAGGTTGGCATTTCCAACCTGACAGGTGAAAACTCTTGCAGTGACCCCTTGCTTGGGGATCACTCCACTCACAAGGAGCCAAAGTAGGGATGTTCTGCGTTCAATTCACAGAGCTGCTGGCTGCTCAAGAGGCAGCTTCAGGTAATATTTGAGAAGGGAGAAGGGCAGAAAGTTCCTGTAGAAAAATACTGCTGCATGGGCTGTGCTGTAATGGACAGAAGCCCTGCAGAGAGGCACAGCCTGAACAACCCTCTGTTGAGCAGGGCCCAAACCCAGGACAATTTCATCCCTCAGCCGGAGAAGCAGGTGCCCCCAGGCCTTTGCAAATTTTGGATCTAAATTCAGATGCTTTCCCCCATGGTTGTACCAGCAAACAGTGCTCTGATCTGCTTTACTTTGTTGAAGGAATTATTTCCCAAACGCTGATTTCTGCACTAGAAAAGTCCTTAGAGACAAAAAGATAGTAGGAGGGCCGAAAGACTGAGTTACCATTAAAGGTATGAACATCCAGCACCATCTTGCCTCTCCTCTGGTTTGCTGTCCACTCCAGCTGGGTGGGAGGGTAAGCCCGAGAGGGTGCAGGCTCTGTCTCTGCGCACTGAGCTGCCGTCAGCATCTTGCGCTGGCAAACAGCGCTGTAGCCCTCCATGCCATAGTCTGACACAAACCTAGAAGAAGGCAACTGCATGTAGCACTGCTCATCCCTCTTAACCCCTCTGTAAGCCTGACTTGGTCTTTTCTCCTCTTACTTCAGCAGTGGCTTCTCCAGTGCTGGTGAGGGGCCAAAGCAGCTCAGCAGAGTCGCCATCAGGACCCAGCCTCGCTGGCTGTGCTCAGTGTCTGGGTTCCTCCAGGTCTGGGCAACCACCTGGCTGAAGATTTCATTGCGCAGAGCAGCATCACTCAAACCTCTCCCAGCAATGTAGTTGCCCAGCAGGACCTCCTGCCAGCCACTGAGATTCTTGTCACCAACGAACCGCAAAATCTGGAGGCATCCGGGACAAGAAAGAGAGAACTGGAGCTGTAACCCTGTGTCCCAAACTGTGTAAGGAGCTGTAGGCACCAGGATGATTGTGAGTCTGAGTAGCCAACACTCAGACTGGGGTCTGTCCTCAGGTTTTGTGCACCACCAAAGTGCTGGGCAATTTGGGAGGCAATGTTTATAGAGGTTGGATCCTGACTAAAAGTCTTGGATCAGACTTCAGTCTCTTCTGAGGTGTGACTCAGAATTTGGTCTAGGGCAAAATATTTCCCCTTGGGCAGGGCTCAGACACACAGGTAAATTACCACAGGATATTTGCTACTGAGCCCACTGAGTGTTTAAAAGCCTTTGGTACAGTTAATATTATACCAGGTACTATGGGATGTGGTGTCTCAACACACTCACTGAAGAAATGATTCAGCTTCTTGGCTTTGCATATCGACATCTTCAATGCTTTTTTAGTTTGTATTTCTCACCCTTAGGTACAGAATTATTTATTTTATTCTCTACACTTCAATATGTCACAAGTCAATTTTTTTATAAAATTGACAATTTTGGAAAGAACATTTATGAGTAAACACTTCTAAAAACACTTAATGGTACCAAGCATGTCAGAGATTCACTGAGAAAAACAAGGGATGGTGGTTGTTTAGTCCTCATGGAATTCGCTGTAGAAAATCCCTACTTCATTAGCAAGGAAGAAAAACTGCCTTTGATCTTTAGAAAAATAATAGTATTCTGCTTAAACACAATCCTACTCACAAGATTTTGTTGAAGCTTAAGCTTTTCTATAATTTGGATCACGAGGACAAAACAAGAGACTGTTTTTAGGTATTAACTTTCTTAATGGGCTTATTTTAATTCTTTGTAATTCCCAAAAAGATTACCAGATTTACTTAGAAAGTATTTGGAGTTTCATTCTATTTTCAACCTTTTTAAAGAAGATATATAAAGGAATATATGTTTCACATCCAGAGAGATGAAACAGCACCATCCCCTTCACACAAACACTACAGAGTGAGGGTGTGGCTCCAGGTGTACTTTTCCTGATGACAAAGTCCCTGCCCTTTCCATCCTTTAAACAACAGTTCAGTGTCCCCTGTTGGGTACTGACACATCTGTGAGCCTGAGGTGCAATTGAGATGTTTGCTATAAATCACATCATGGAAAAGATCTGGGTTAAATGAAACTTTTTCATGACTGATAGATGAGTAAGTGGCTGAGAAGACAGACATCCCTTATCATTGCTACTCAGACTGGGATATTGGGATATTAAAGTTTAACAGTCCTATTCCTATATGTCCTGCCAAATTCTGAGGCTCCATCACCAGGTAATTCACTTTGATCCTAGCAGTCTGTGGCTGGTCTGTGCCTCCCCAAAACCAGAGCAAACCTAAGGGGCTGTGTGTGATCTCTGTCAGGCTCCAGGGCCTAGAAGGAGCAATTTATTCTGCTTTTCCAGCCCTCCGTGGATTACAAGAAAAGCATCCATCACCAGGAACTTGTTGTATCAAGGCATCAAAACATTGTCTGTGCCCACCTGTTCTTCAGTAAGGTCAGGAATGATGTCTCTTACCAGTTTGTTTATCTCAAGTGCACTCTCCTGGCGTTCAGCATCCAGGTGTGTCAAGGGGTGCTGCAGAGGCTGACCAGGGCCAGGGAAATCTGTCTTCTACAAAGAAACAAAGAAGGATAGAAATATTTGCTCCTGGTGTTGCTAAAACCAGTGTGTCTGCCCACAGGGGAGGCAGTGAAGGGAGATAAAGAGTTCCCACCTGGAAGTGTGATTTGATGAAGGAGGAGAAAGGATAGCTGTTGATGGTGGGAGGGAGGGAAAGGTTATCCTTGACCTTGACTTCTGGGGGCTGTGTCTCAGTTATCAGGTTGGCCTGTGCTCGGTGTCGACCTGCAAGGGAAGGAGATCTGGTGTGGTGGCAGGACACAAACAATTCACACAGCAGCTCCTGGCTGACCTGCACCTCACCCTGCCCGAGCCCCTGAACCAGCCCCCAGCTCCAGGGACACCCAGCAGGCACAGCCTGACCTCCCTGAGATCACAAGGACTCTCTTCAGGAGGGAGATTTTGCAGCTCTGGTCTTTCAGACTCTTCTCTCCAGGGAACACCTGGAGATTCAAGTCTGCTCTGCAGCTTTTACAGGCAGGAAATGCTGAGCCCATACAGATCTGCTGACAACTGCCCAGTCCTCAAGGAAATGAGAGGTCTTTGTAATGAGGGATTTATAATGGATAACAGAGAACATCACTAAATGAAGGGATTTCTCAGTGCAGCACAGCTTCTGTGCATTCCTCTACCTCCAGCTGTGTCCCCTGATGCTCTCCCATCCTCCCTGTTTACTTCCCATCAGCTTTCACTCCCAGCAGTTTCAGTGTTCCCTGAGCTCCTCTGGCTTACATTGCTCACTAGACCTGCTGATAGTCCCTGGAGGGCTCTGCCATGAAATGTGAAGTATTTGGGAATCCAGCACAATCTGCTCCAATTCACAAGACTCTTCTGCCTGATTGTCTCCCTTACTGTCCCCCACAGGCACTGCTGGCTTTGGGTTTGACACCACACAGACAGAGAGAGGCAAATCCTGCCTCAACCTATTTGCAGCTTAAATATTCACATTATTATGTGAGCTACAGAGGAAATACAACTGCACATAACGCTCAAGGTCAGAACAACAGCTTGTGAAATTATTGCAGTTAGTGGGGTTTTGGTGATTTGAAAACCAATTGGTACATCCCTAAATTGATAAATAAACACATGCTCAACTTGTTACATTATTACATCCTTAAGTTATTATATTGTTATATCCTTCGACTGAAATTGTTATATCTCAAGTTATTACATTGTTCCACAATCAAGTTGTTACCCTGTTTCTCCTTCCTTCTATTTTAAATTTTCTTTTGAGGAAGCAATTTTTAATGAAACCTAAAAATATTTCTTTGAAATGGTCAAAACTTCCCCTTCAATTTCCTTAAAGATTTTAGAGTAGGTAAAAGATGGGTTTAAGTTCTTCCACACCAGATACTCATCTCTGTCTGGGTTCATTAAGCAGTTTGCTGTTACATATCTTTGACCAAAGAGTTTTGCACCATTCCTGCCACCAGTTCTATGAGTCCAGTTCAAAAGAAAAGCTGAAAAATTAACAAAGATACTGATTTTCAAGCTGGTGTTCTGCCCCCTGGCCCAAGTTGCTTTTCCTCCCTACCATGTCAGGAAAGATCCATGGTACCATTTGTCTTTATCAGAGTTACACTGCAATGATAATGAATCAAATTCAACCCAGTGACAAGCAGCAGGGAGAACAAACACATACATTGATATAAACAAGGAAATACTCAGTGAAACAGTGCAGGAAAGGGAAGGAAGGAGGAGGATTTCTCACCTTCAACAAAGTGCAGGAGGGCTGCAAGCTCTGCAGGGATCTCCAGCAGCCCCACATCCTGGAGAGAGAAACAAATCAGGCACTGGCTGCCAGCAGAGGAGCCACATAAAAACCCTGAGCTGAGACAGGGTGAAACTGCCTTGGAAAAGCTGCCAGGACAGGGATGGAGCATCTGAGCCAAAGCAGTGACTTCTGCCTCCACAACATTCAGAACCACTGCAAATAGGGAGGTATTGCATGAACACAGCTGTGTGACATGGGTCAGCAAAGGAGGGAAAGGGGAGCTATTCCTAAATAAAAAATCAACTGCCACAAGGGGAATGACAGGAAAGTTGGTTTTCTTTGACTCATCCCTCATTGCTATCAAGTCTGGCATATTGCACTGCAGAGAGTGCACCTGAAAGGTAAGGGCCATTTCCTCTTGCACTTTCCTGACATTTTTCTTTTGATTTTTCAGTATCCAAAAGTGCTACAGCATAAAATAAGACCCGATTCTGATCTTTGATACATGTTGGAGGTTCCTAAGAAAGCTCAGATCTCTACCTCAGTAATCCAGATGAGAATCTGGCCAAAGAATGTTGATTTTTCACTGTTTTGCACCTTGCACTGCAGGGTAGGAAGCAAATGGGCCACTACAACACAGTGTGTCAGCATCACTGCATGCAGAGTCAAGCTCAGGGCATTTCAGATAGAACTACTCAGATTAAGGCACAATAAAACCAAGCCAAAGTCAAAAAAACAGAGCTTTTGGGGTTTGTTTTTCTTTTGGTTTCTTGGTTTTTGGAGTTTTTTTAAGATCTGCATAGTAAAGCCTCTTGTCACCAGCACATTATTTCGACATCTCTCTCCACAAAGAGCTTAAAGACAGATTCACAGCATTTTTGATCAGTTTGATTTTGCTCATGAGAATTATACTTGACTTCAAGTCAGGCTTTTCAATGGTGTATTGAGGAAGTGAACTGTGAAATTCCACAGTTCTGGATCCACACCTGAGGAAGAGGTGATACAAGAGCACCTTATTCTTCTTGTTGTTGACAGATCTATACAGAATTATGGATAATATCAATTCAGATTCCCTCAATACACACACTTCAGCAGATGTGTGTCCAGTCCAGACACATAAATAATGGCATTAGTTAGAAGTGTTGATACAGGCTAAATGTGTTATGAAGCTTTTAATAAACCCCTTCCTCTACATCAGCTTCTGTTAATATATTTATGCAGAAGTGCCTCATTCCCACCCCTCACAGTAGAAGATCACCAAAAATAATCTTCCCTCCACCTCTGAAGACCAGGTCCAGTGCTGTGGAAAAAACACAGTGCTCTGGTTTGGACTGATTTATGATGCCTGGCTGTGCCCAGAGTCTGGGAAACACTGAATAATGAGATATTTCAGTATTAGAAGGCACTTTATACCTAACCTGCATTCTGTACTAGGTTCCACACACATGTGTGCCCCCTCTAGATGTTCTGCTATTCCCCAGCAAACCTGGGCTGAGGAGGCACAAGAGAGGGAGAACACCTGGGAGAACCTGATTTTTTTGCTCTCAGACCCTCCCAGACTATTTGACAACTCACCATTCCTTGGCTGGGACTATTCTCTGTGTCAACACAGGCCAGGGAGCTCCTTCTTTGTTTCCTTTCCTCTAACTCCTGCTGTTAGGAGATGAAAAGGGGATGGAGGGTGGGAAAATGTGTATGAAGTCAATTCCAGCTGTTCTGGGGGCAGATGCTGTGGGTGGGCAGGAGATGGTGTCCTGCTCCAGCAGATAAAATGACAGAACAGCTCCAGATCCTTCTTGGGACCCCAACACAGTGTATTGAGAAGGGACTGCCCAGGCAAAGACCTGAGCTCTGCTGAAACACCTCCTGCCCTTCAGGACACAGTTCAACAGCAGGAGCCTCCAGCACCTGCCCAGCATCCTGCCACACCTCCCCTTGCTGAGCGTTTGATGTGGCTCAGGACAAAAGCACCCAGCAGCTGCCAGAAACATTCACCCACCTCGTTCAGCATCAAAGCACATGATAACAGCCTGAACACAGAGACATGAATTCATCCATGGAGAAGAAACCCTTTAGAAAGGTGGGAGGGATAACAAAAGCTCAACTCCCTCACAGCTCTGCTCTTTCCCATCCATTCTATCGTTCTCCAGCCTCACCACTCACCTGACTCCCAGCTGGAGATGGAGAAGGAGGGTCTGTCTCTGCCTCTCTCCTGCCTGCCAGTGGTGCAGAGCAGTGTGACTACATGGGAGGCTACCAGGGCTGGGCTAAGAAAGACAGTGACAAGTGAAAGTCCAAAGGGCAGGGCTGTGGGGTGGGGGGAAAGGAGGAACTTTGCAGCAGGTGAACTTTGAGACCTTTGTTTGCATGTACAGCAAACAAACACTGAAGGAACAGAAACAGATTCAAGAGAACTGCAATGTGGTTACCTGGGAGAAAGAAAAGCTGGATCCTGTCCTAGTGGGAAGGGCAAGAAACAGAACAGAAAGTCAGGCTGTGCTGGACATGGCAGGAGAGGAGGCACCTCTGCAGGTTTGTATCAACAATTGTCCTTAACCCTCAGCCATGCCAGCAGCTGCACTGGGTCCTTCCCTTGTAAAGCTGACAGCTATGAGAGGTTTGTTTCTACTCTAAGGATGAGTGGTCTGATTTCCTCCTTCTGATTTTATTTTACTAGTTTACATTATACCCATTTGACAGAACCATGGCTCTCTCCTGTACACCATTTTCCATCTTCTCTAAAACCTGCCATCCTGGTCTCACCCCAGCTGATTTCCAAGAGGCCAAGGGCTTGAGCAGCCTGAGGCAGCTGAAAGGGATCAGGGGAGGATCATGATGGACTGAAAAAATCTTACATTTCAGTCACCATCAGAATTAGAACAGGGCAACAAAAAAAGCAAGATGAATGACTCCTTACAGCTTGAGCAGAACAGCAGCTCTGAAGACCACAGATGGAACTAGCTCTTGTCTCATGTAGGGCAGCCTGGAGTGATGCCTGGAGTGGCTACCTAGAACAGAGGCTAGACAGAGTTAGAGAATAAAGTAGGTATTTATTAAAGGCCTTCAACAGATACACCTTGGGCAGTGCAAAGCCTCACAGAGGCTACACCCAAGATGGATGATGGCCACGAGTTTTTCAGACAGAAATAAATTTAGTATATTTGCATATCGGGGGTTAATTGTCCAATTACATCTTCAGGTAATGAAGTCACATTCTCCCAGTTTGCTTCCCCCAATTCATTTTTGTTTATACTTTTTTACAGGCTGTGACTGTGACCTTGGATCTCAGGCCTGGAAGGATTGTTCTGTCTGACCAAACTGTGAAGAGAACCTACTAACACTCTATTTGGAGTTCAGAGTTATACACTAATGCAGTACAGGATCCAAAAAATATAAAAGCTAAAGCTTAAGGCATCATTCCCACCCTGGCTCACACAGCCAGACCCATGAATCAGCTGTGTATGCAATACCTGCACCAATTCTGAATGTCATCTAGAGAGAGAAGGTTCCAGCCTCTGTGGTTCCTTCATTTGACTACATTTGTGTCAGACAGAGGGTGAAGGACACCTCACTGGGTCATTCCCAACAAACCTTCCAAGGCCATCCCTGCCCTGGCCTCACCCAGTCCCCAGCTCACTCTGCTTAGGGCAGGAATAGCCCCTCCTGTACACCTTGCTCTGACAGGACTGCTGTTACCTGGCAGCGCTTCCTCCTCCAAACCAAAGGTCTGGAGATTAAAATCATGGTTTTAAATTGCACCAAAGTCTTCTTCAGCCTCCTGTAACGCTTCCTAGAGGATGAGGAAAGAAAAGAATCATCTAATGAGGGACACATCTGCCACACAAACACACATGGAGCAGGCCAGGAGCCAACATGAGGGGGGGCCTGGACATCCCCACCTGTGTGTCCCTTGGCTGGCCTTTGACTCCTCACCTTGCCTGGTACCCTCGGAAGTGAGCCTGGATGACCGTGACTTTCTCCTGGAGGACACGGAGGCGCCGGCGGTGGAGGAGGCGGCGGAATTTCCTCTGCAGAGTGACAACAGCCCAGCTCTGCCTCTGGAGCCATCGTCTCTCCAGCAGCTGCCTGGCCTTCTCCTTCAGAAACACCTGGGCAAAGGCAGCAGCTGCTGAGCCACGAGGGAAGCAGCAGCTTCTCCCAGAGCTGATCAATAACAAAAACTGCTGGTTTATCCCTCTGGCGCCGGTGCACGTGACAGAGACGGATGCATTTGTGGTGGACAAGGAATCAGGGAAGGATGAAGGTGGCAAAAGTAAAGCCCAGGAATGCTGGGTATACAGAGGACTTGGGCATGCTACAATAGCCTGGAGCTGGAGTCTCCTGTTAATCTGGAGTGCTACAAAGGCCTCCTTAGTTCTTGAGACAAGAGGCAAAGGTGAGGGGGGAAGGTGTGCAAGGCCCTCACTCTTTGGGCAGAGGCTGAGCTCCTCTCCATGCTTTGCCAGCCTGGGAATGGGTGGGTGGGGCTGTGCAATCCAGGTGGGAATCTCTGTAGGCATCACCTTTGTCACTCCAATCTGATAGAGATCCGAGGGGCTCCCCACCACACGAGCCAGCACTGCTGCACAGCCTTCCCTCTGCTCCACGCTGCTGGGCCTGCTCCCAGCCAGGAACCCGTACCTGGCACAGGAGGAGCGGTTGTGACAAAAACCAGGGCTGTACTCAGAGGACAAAACATCCAGGGCTGGGGGATCCCAAGCCAGGCCAGCCCTGTACCTGGCCAGGAAGCTCTGGAATGGCAGACGGACTGGGTATCCCTCCTTCCGAATGTGGATGGCCTCCAGGATCCCGGAATGCCGCAGCTGGCTGTTGACATACTCCACATCAAAGATATTTGACAGCTGCGAAGATAAAGCAGAAGAAAAAATTAAAAACAAGAAATAAAGAAAAATTAAAGAAAGGAGACTGAAGGCAGGGAGTTTAGAAAGGGTCTCCTTCTCTTGTCCTGTCCTTAGATTGGATCTTGCCATGGGCTGTGGGCCATGGAACACAAAGCCCAAGGGATGCTTTGGTGTCCAGCTGACCCTGGCTTCTGCTCCTGCAGCACAGGATAAACCCAGATGGCCACAGGGAAGGGTGGGACACAGAACAGGGAAGAAAAGTCTCAAGCTATCAAATGAAACAAAGTTTAAATCCCGGCTGTGCAAGGAAAGCTGTTGGAGACAAATGAAGGAACTGAGGGACTCCATAAGGAGCTCGGGGTGCTGCCCTACCTTCCTGGGGTTAGGGGTGATGCACCGGATGAAGAAGGCATGGCTCCTGGAAACAGAAGGAAGAACCATGGATCACCCTCCTCTCTGTGCTGACCTTGGAAGACTTCACACCCCTGTGTGCCAACAGCATTTCTCACCCTCTCAGCTTGGCTGTGAGGTCTTCCAAAGACTGCTGGAATTTGGACACCAGTGTGGAGGCCTGAGGCCTGAGCCCTTTGCCCCTGCCCCACAACTCCCTTTGCTGACCATAGGCAACTTTAGCCCTCTGGAAAATGTGAGACACCACCTGCAAAAACAAAGAAATTACCAAAAACTCACTGAACTATGTGGAAAGAAGAATCTCTTCTACCTGGAACTTAAGGGGACCATTTTCCCTTGCTCCTGGCAGTGTCAGGACTGCAGCTGCATCCTGAGGCAGTCTGTGTGTTTTATATAAAGTGCATCAATTGCGGCCAAAGACAATTTGCTCAATTCCCAAGTAAATTCAGTAAAATAAAACTCATGGCTTCTCCAGGTTCTCCTGACAGCTGATCAGCAGCTTTCTGCTTCTCATATAAAGACAATGAGTGGATCACTGATTATCTGCAATAGAGATCTTCCTCCTGACCCACAGCTGTACCTTGAGGCGGCTCTGGGAGAAGATATCCAGCACCTCTGGCCGCAGCTGGTCACGGTTTTTATGGAGAAACTTGTGAACCTGCAGAGGCAAAGTCTGATTTAAAACACCCTTCAGACCACTCAGACAGGCAAACACTCCTGTTACACACACTGGGACTGGGGACAGGCAGCTGGAGAGGTGGAACAATGGAAAGCCCTGGAGAATTAAGCTGGTTCTTCCTGCTGCCACCAGGATAGATGGTGGCAGAGGACAATGACTTCTGCTTTGAGAAGGGATTGCTCCTTTCCTCCTTCACCCAGCAGGCTTTCACCTCTCTTATTTTTATTTATTTTTATTTATTTTTATTTTTTTTCTTTTCCCCCAGCAGCAAGAGCTTTCCTGCATTTCCAGGGCTCTGAGGCTGTTGCATCACTCAGGGCAATTCCTATTTTGCTTCTGCCCAGAGGCAGTTTAGTTGGCTCTCTTAATCTCCTCTCTTCTGATAATCTGATGCTCTAGAGGGATGTGCCATCACAAGGGGAAAGCTTTGATCACTGAGCTGGTCCCTCAGGACACCCAGAGCTTGTCCCCAGGATGGGTTATTTGTCCAGCTCCTCTGAGCCCCTGCCAGCTCACCTGGTAGGTGACAGGGCCAGCGTAGTGCTGCACAGTGAACTCTGGCAAAGGCAGCTTAGGCTTGGTGTACCAAGGGCTGTTTCCATGGTGGTAATGACACTTCTGGAGGAAAGTGTGGTCTGTGGCCTATAAAAGAGATTCCCTGATGCTGCAACACACTCAGTAGGCTGAAAAGTCACTGTTAAACTGAAGGTAAAAACATTGAATAGTTGTGCAATCATTCCAGAAAACAGCCTCACCTTAACCATCCTTTGAAAAGGATCCCATGAGAGGCTGAGCTCCTCACCTGGGTCAGGGATGTCTGGTCATCCAGGATGCACAGGATGCCGTGGGGCTTTGCAGTAAGGAAATCCAGGCAGGACTCACTGTACATCTTGGAAATAGGAATCCAAGCTAACTGCTCCTGGCTGTATTCCTCCTGCATGTTAAAGGCCAAATCCAGCCATGCAAACAAGGACAAATGGAGAGAATTAACAGAGGGATTTGGGTTGCTTATCAGGAAGTTAGTGTTTTACTGCTGTTAGGAACTTGCCTAGAATTGTCTGGTTTCGTCCTATGAAACTTCTTTTAAAGCCATAAATGATTTTCCTGATTTGAGAGAGGAAGGCTGCTAAGCTGAGTGATAAAGTGAACTATAGAAGGCAACAAGTCTGATAAATACACTTCCATCCCCAGGACATAAGTGGTACAGAAAGTGCTACAAATAAGCCAAAAGGCTTTAAAAGTACCCTCTGTGGTCTGGGCTCTTTGGCCCTGACCAACTCACTTATAAAATCTGGAAAAGGAAGCAAGCTGACAAAAATCCCTTAATTTAGTGTAGAATTAATAAAAGGTATTAAATAGGCAGCTGTTAGGAGTAGGATTCCATGGATATTGCTTAAGAGGACCATTCCATTTCCTGTTCCCTGCTGAGGGATGCTCTGAGGATGCCTCAGCTCAGTCCCTGTGTGCTGCCTTAAGGTGGTGTGAATTCCACTTTACCTCTTCCTGGGCAATGACAGTCTGGCTGAAGAACCACTGGAGGTGCTCATTGGCAAAGTTGATGCAGAGCTGCTCTAAGCTGTTCACCCCCAGATCCTGCAAAGACAAGAAGGGATCATCACTTCTGTGGCCCAGGGAGCTGTGGCTCCCTGTAAATGCTGCACAGGCTGAGCTGAGCTGCTGGTTCTGGCCAGGGTGAATGAAACCCAACAGTTCAAACCATCTTCTGTCCGGTTTGCAAGCTCTCAGCCTGGCTTACTGACCAGGCTGAACAGCCAGAGTGAGACAAGCTGTGAAGGAGCACAATGAAGAGAAGATCTACTCTTGGATGCACAGCCCCACCTCTGTATTCCATTGTTTCCAGCATTCATTGGGACACACAGGTTTTAACAAGAGCCTTAAGTAAAATACTCCAAGGCCTTGCTGAGCCCTCACTGCCTAGGCCATAGCAGACAAACATGAAAAATAACCTCAAAGCCATGGATGTCCACGATGCCCACGGCACAGTCAGACTCCCAGGGAGCCAACCACTCATTGATCCTCAGCAGCAGCCACTCAAAGAGCAGGTAGTACAGAGCCTTGGCAATGGAGTCCCTGAGTGGGAGAGGGGACAAGAACCAGTTACTGCAAAGACAGCACCTCTGGCTGCATCTCACCCACCCAGACATCAGCAGAAGTCACCTGGCATCAATGGCTCCTTCCACAGACAGAGGGGAGAAGATCCGATCATAAGATGTAACCTGGATATGTAAAGAGAGAATTTACTTTTATTATCTCACAAAAACACCTTTTTTCTTTTAATCTACAAGGAAGTCAACCCAGTCAATAAATGGATATTTTTTCCTATTTGGTGAGAATTCACCCAGATATGAAAAGGAAAACTAAACCCAGAATTTTGCTGCCAGAGGTGGGAGTCAGCTGGCCAAAGTGATAAACCTGAAGCCACTCATGTCAGAAACAATTCCTCCTAGATGTGAGTTCTGCCATCTTTACAGAGCTGCCTTCAGGGGTTCAGCCCATCCCAACCATTTTATTCCTGGTGTTACCTCCCACACTTTGAGCCTTCTAAGCTTAGGACAGTGGGGCAGGATATTTCGTGCTTCAGGAGGAATGAGAAATCACCAGAAAAGTACTCACAGTGACACGGTGAGTGACAGCACTCTGCAGGGGTTCTGCTGAGACACACAACAGATTGGCCACAATCTGAATCTCAGTGTCACTGGCAATGGCTGCGTGTTCAAAGGAGTCTTTCTAAATAATAAAGTGTTCTTTATTATATATTACTATACATATATTACTGTCTATATTATTGTACATTATAGATAGGAACAATGGATGGGATACAAGGTCCCTCCTGTATTAATATCTTATATTAATATTCTCAACAGCACCTCAGCTGCACAGAGCTGGTCACAGCCCGGGCAGAACACCAGGTTCATTTTGGCTCCTTAAAAAGCCACCCAAGCTCTAATGACCTTTGGTTGCCTCCCATCTTCTGTCCCTGTCTGGACCAGTTTAGAGCACAACACTGAAAGGACAGAAAGGTTTTCAAAGGATGTCATCCTCAGTCAGGAATCATGTCCTCGGCCCCACTATAGGACAACAGCAATATTCAGCACAAATATCCCATTCTCAAGCTGTTGGGGTTACTGTACCTCATAGGAGGTAAAGCAGATGTTCCCCAGCTGCAGAATGGCAGCCAGGACAGCCCAGGTGGAGCTCAGCTGATCATCTGAGAGGTTGATTCCCTCCAGAGCTTGCACCAAGACCAGAAAATCCTGACTGTCCTCCTTTCCCAGGACGTCACATGCTCTGCCCTGAGAGAAAAGGGACAGATAATCGTGATCAGCCCCTTTAGCCTCGGGCAGGGGTTAACCCACCTGGTTAATTAACCAGGAATTAACCTGGGTTAATTCCACCCAGGAATCTGCAGAGAAGCAGTTCAATGTTTTAAGGACTGGAGGAATCTGAAGAGATAAAAGACACCTCTAGTGGAAATTCAGCATTTGTGGTGAGGGGCCAGTGTCTTCACCCTCAGGAGTTTTGTGATTAAGATCTCTCTTACCCACACATACCAAGTTTCTGCTGGAATTCCAGTACAAGCTGCCCAGGATCCCCCTGTCCGGGCAGAGCTTGAGAAGCGGTGCCTGAGTCTGCTCCCAGGTAAATGATGGCAGAGTTGCTGCCCCAGTTGGTACCAGCTGGGGTTCTGTGCCCCCAGGAGCCCCCCAGGCTTACAGCCTGTCTCACCTTGGCCACTAAACTTCACCACAACACGGGCTTGTCACTCTGCTGCTTCTTTTCTCTACAAGAGGACATTCCCTGTTACCCTAATGGTCACGGAAATCCTGGGTCAGGGGTTCTGCAGAACCTGTTTGCGTTCAAGGGCATTCTTTGAGCATAGCTCTCAGCAGATTTTGGTGAGACAGGGATGAGGTCCAGGCATCCCTTGGGCTTCTTCTTGCCAAAATCGATTTTGTCAGTCTCTGCTAACTCTTTCGTGCATAATCTGATCTTTTTCCCTTTCCTTCTCCGCAGCAGGCTGGGATATTCCTGTTAATTATCACCTCGCTGACTTTGCTTTACGATGCTTTGCCAGCCGGGAGCCATCAATCACCCAATTAAGCCACACCAGGGCTTAATTGCCCTCCATCCTTGAGTCATTAATGGCTCTTGTCCATTGCTCGCCTGAAGGTGAGCTGATAGCAATCACTACCGAGGATTCCTCCTGACCGCAGCTTCTGCCAAGAATTTGAATTTGCCACCTGGGAAAGCTGACTCACGCTGATATAGGAAAAATCTCTTGCAATTGTTGTGACCTCCTTGATTATGGAAAACAATCTTAAAAAACTCAAACAAAACAAAACCTACACTCACCAAAAAAAAAAAAAAAAGAAAAAAAAGAAAAAAAAGCGTTCCAAGATTGTGACTTGATGTAAGTCTGACAAGCAAATTTAAATTTAATTTAAATAATTGCAATCAGCAGTATATTTCAGTGATTTAAAATCTGCACCCGTTGACTCAGTCAATAAAGCAAGTGTTTTGCAGAAGATAGAAAGAAATCCTCCCTGCTTTTTGCAGTAAATTGCAAATGCAAGGAAAGGCAATGGGAAAAGGGGTTTTACACCACACGATGGAGCCACGAGTCTACACAACGACTCCTCGGTAAAGCCTGTCCTTCCAGAGTAGACGGGGACTGAAAGGTGAGAAAATGATCACAAAAGAGACAAAGATGTCGATTCTTAGATCAGGTATGAGAAGGAGCCGACTATGAGAAGGAGCAGAGCTGACTTGAGCATAGTCCTGAGTCCTTTGCAGGGGAGAAAAGTGATTTGGTGCCTCTCTAAGCAAACAGAAGGGACGCCTGGGCCATTTCTCTCTGCCAGCTGCTGCAGAGCACCCTCAGCTCACTCACCTGGTTCAGGTAAAAGTAGGACTCTGCCTCCTGCAAATACATCTCCTCTTTCTGCTCCATGGGCAGCCCTGCCAGCAGCTCGTAAAACACGTGGTAGTTCCTCTCACCGTGGGCCTGATGGAACACATTCAAGGAGTTGATCCAGCTCCAGCTCCAAACCCCTCCAGAGCACACTCACAGAGCAGGACACAGGTTCTGGGGTCAGCAGGACAAAGTCAGAACCACTTCATTTGAAAAGTTTCCAGGGTTTCCACTGACACCTTAAGAACATCTATCTGAGAGAAGGCCTTTTCACACAGCTCTAATATTTGACCAATTCCACACTCCAGAGATTAAGAAAAACTAATTGAGGGAAGATTCAACTGTCAGTAATCCCTAATAAGTGGTTTAATTCAACCTGAGACAGAGAAATCTCCTATTTTATTCAAATAAAAGAAGTGATCACCCTGTGCTACATGGAGGGGACGTAGTTCTTGCTAATAGAAGAAATGGAAAGCATTTCTCATACTAATTCTCACCCCTGACACCTAACAGTAAGTTTGAGATGAAATGTTAATAAGGGAGAGAGGGGGTCACTGGTCCTCACCTGAAACACCACACGAGACTTCTCCAGCAGGTACTGGGAGATGGATGTTCCCACCACGATGCCACTGAGAATAAGACAACAGATCCTGTCAGAAGCTGGGGTCTGCTTTTCTGCAGACTTGTGTCTCTGCAGGTAAGAATGATCTTAGGGATATAATCTGCGTGACTTTTCAAAATATTTTGACAAAATTGTGGGACTTTCAGGGAAACCAAGCATGCATGGAATAAGAAGGAAAGTCTTAATGTGGGTAGGAATAAAGGTGAACTCTTTTAACAGTCTGAAACAACCATCAGAGTTCCACAAAGTGTCTGTACCTGACCTGTGAGTGCAGGTTTGGTAAGTGACCTAGAAGAGGAGTTGAACAGCAATGGGTCAAAGCTTCCTGCTTGTATGAAATTATCTGGGGTAGTGAGGATGAAGGCCAGTTGTGAATAAATGCAGACAGACCTTACAGTGCAGAGTGAGCAAGAAAATGGCACACAAAACCCACTGTAGATAAATGTGAAGTGATGGGTGCAGACCCAGCTTCACATATAAACAGGCTCCAATTTAAACATTGCTCCTTGGGACTGAGACCTGAGGGTTTTGATAGACTGTTCCATGAAAGAATCACCTCAGTGCTTGGCAAAGGTCAGAAAAAAACCCCAAACAAACCAATCAAACCCAGAAGTTAGAAAGTAGGCAGGCTCAAAACAGAAAGGTGGTTTTCACAGAATTTGTTAGACTTGTGGAACACTTGTTGAAGGCTGTTGCAGAGGTATCAAGTTTGTATGAATCCAAGAAGAAACTGGAAAACCTCAGGAGACTGAGGAAAACTGAGCTGCTGCAAATGTTCAAGAGCTCAAGAGGTGTTAGGGAAAAGCATAGTGTGTATTTGGGCTGTTCTTGCCTCAGGCAGTGCTTGAGGTCAGTGCTGAGGACATAGCAGGGTATCAGATGGGTCCTTGGTATAAACCAGTTCAGCCATTCTTATGTTCTTAATTTAGCACTCATCTTGAGAACTATGCTCTGTTCTTTTTCAGAGGAAACACAAGAAAAAACAAAACAGGGGTGTAAACTCGCCCTCTTCCTACCCTGATGACATGAGGGAAGGGGAGGGGGGGTTATTGTGTGAACTCTCAGCACTGCTCCACCTTTTCTCACCCAAACACCCCTTGGCAGCTGCAGGGGCCCGAGGAGATTCTTGAACTCACTGTCGCAGGTGGACGTTCAGCAGCTTTCCAAAACGGCTGGAGTTGTCATTGAGGATGGTTCTTGCATTTCCAAAACTCTCCAGGATGGGTAGGACATTGCAGGGCTGTAAAGAAAAGAGGGAGGGAACACTTCAGTAGCAATCACAGGTTTTTAAATTCAAAAGGGGTTTAGGTACCTGTCAGTTTGAAAAGATAAAACAAAAATGTGACTTCACTGATATAATTCTCACATGGGTAAAAGATATCTTTTTAAATGTGTCCTGGTATCATTCTCTCTAGCAAGTGGTGAGTTGCTCTGTGAGCTCTTTACCCTTGCTGCTATAATCTTTCACTTTACTTCTGCTCTGTGTTTGTTCAGATTCACCTCCCAGACTCTGCCAAAAGCTCTCCATGGCAGCTGCCAGCTCGCTGTTCAAACAGATACAGCAGTTTCCTTCTCCCAGGTATTAAAATACAGAACTACAAATACACCAGCTGTCCTCGAGTTTTTATGGGAGTTTCACCATGGAGCACAAACCCTCCCAAGTCCAGCCACAGAAATAACATCAGCAGCATGGCCTCTCTCCCCTGTCCTTGGCTTCTTTTCCCTGCCCAACCCTCACAGCCTCCAGCCAAGCTCACTTGCCTGTTACCTGTCTGATCCTGTGGCTGTCAGATCCCTGGTACAGCATGGTCAGGTATTGCACAATGGCTTTGGCAGCTTCTGTTTTCCCTGATCCACTGTGCCCACTGCAGGAGCAAGAGGTGGAGAAGTTGGCATCAAAACAGAGGTACCTGATCTGGGCACATCAGAGGCCCTGCTACAGCAAATCAGAGGGGTTGTGCTGATTTACAGCTGAAAATCTGTCACCCATTGCTTGAAACATTGAGATAATCTGACAAAATGGGCCCAAATAGGATTCCACTGGGGAATTTCAGACTCCTTCTCTCCCAATCTTCTGAAGTTAAATGAAATTCAAACTGTTTTTGCACAGAGTGAAATAAAAATCCACCTTATTCAGGTTCTCCACAGCAGCCCTCATGTAAGAGCCAGAAGGACCAACTTACAGGAAGTGAAATACAAAAGTGGAACTTTTACATAAAGAAATTAAAGGGCCTCCAACAAAGCCCTTCAGTTCCTACCTGATGACAACACACTGCTCCTGCTCTGACGACTGGGACAGCGTGTAGGCCATCTGTGCTATGGCAAAGATGTGTCTGGATGGACAGAAAGAAACCCTCGTTAGCTGACCCCACATTTCCACCTCACAGGTGCAGCACTGAAAGATTCCTCATCAGGGATCCACATTAGAGATGGACCAGTGTCTTGATCAAAGAAACTTGACTTAAATATCACAGAATGGTTTGGGTTGGAGGGACCTTACAGACTATCTCATTCCTCTGCCATGGAGGGACAACTTCCACTAGACCTGATTTTCCCAAGCCCTGTCCAGCCTGGCCTTGGACACTTCCAGGGATGAATTTTAGCTCTGTATTAGAGGCCCAAGCAACTACAGCTTTGCCAAATGGGCTGTTCACTCCCTGTGACATTCCTGTTCACTCCCTGTGACATTCATCCTGCTCTACCAGAGAAGTGGAGGAAAATAAAATACTTTCTGGAGCACAAACAGAACAGGGTTCAGAAAGTTATTTGAGAAAGAAAAACATACGGGGCATTTTTTGAGAGAGTCCCTTGCTGGTACTCTGTAGCCACATCTTCAGAGTAGATACTGAGGTCTTTGAAAGGATTCACAGAAATCAAAATTTGCCCAATGTAAGTCTAAGACAAAAAAAAAGAAAGGGGGGAAAATCTGGTGGCTTCTTAGAATTTTCTGGATGAGGGAGGCAGCTGAATGCATATATTAATACAAATATACAAATCCCCTTTAAAGGAATATTATTTATTCTGATTATACTGCCGATTTATCAAAGACACAGCTTTTCAGTGGTCACTTTCTAATCTCTGTCATCAATAATTTGGGATAAGCAAGCACTCACTGGTCTGTGGTCATCTTCTCTGTCTATTCTCCAAGCTCCATGTGAAATTACAGGTACAGGTTTGAACACTTGAGCCAGTAAATGGAAAAGAGAACAATTAACCATCCACAACCAGATCTGGACTGCAACGTTGTGAAATGTTTGCAGAAACTCTGAGGTTTCTTCTCAAGATCCACAATTGTTAACTCAGAACTTCTCTGCTAAAACAGGAGAGTCCCACTAGGAGCAGCTGAAGCTAAAAAGGAGACCAAGTATGCTCACAGGTATTGGTAACAAATACCAAAATTACAGAGAAACTCTGGAACTTTCAGATTTCACCCCAAATAGTTCATGCTACCTGATTTCTGAGCAAAAGCTGTGTGAGAATACTTTTTATCATTGTTCCCGGTAATGAGTGAGGTACTTGGTGCATTATTAAAGCTTGATGGCATAATATAAATTATTTTCTCTTAAAGCTCATTGTTCAGAGTGAATAAGCAGTGAAGAAAACCAAGCCAAGCATCACTATCCATACATAAATGAGATTGTGATGGAACCTCTTCTTCAGGCACAGCAGGACTGAGCTCTCACAGACTTCCCTACAAAGAGAGGAAAGGATTTGTCAGTCATAAGCTTCACTTGCATGTGTTAATATTAAATATTAACCTTTCTGCCCTCCCAAGGATCACAGAATATTCTGAGTTGGAAGGGACCCACAAGGATCATGGAGTCCAGCTCTTAAGTGAATGGCCCGAACGGGGGTCAAAGATTTTGTGTGGAGCTGGGACTGAAACTCTTCACTGCCTTCATGTGGTTACAACACCTCCAGGACTAAAACACATCAGAGAATGGAGCATTCAAAGCTCAGAACTTCCTCTGTGTGATCACAGCTCCTTGCACAGCCTTTACAGGTGTTTATCTCAGCAGGATGACAGGAGGGGAGGATGTGTGAGGGGCAGTGTCAGGGGCTTGTCTTTCAACAGCAGCAGTGAACCAAGGGTTAAACAGCTCTTAAAGATGAATTTTTCACAGCTGAGGGCAGCAGGAGTCACTAAACTACAGATGTCAATGTCAGTAGGCAAAGAACATAGAAATGTGCTTCTCATCCTGCAAGCTGTCCTTTCTCACCACTCACTTCATACAATAAGAGAGGCATTGTTAAATTCCCAATTCTGTCCTTCTGCTACATCACAGAAGTCACATCAGCCTCTAAACCTAATTTCCCCTATCCATTAAGTATTTTGTGTTTTTTTAGAACCATTTCAGGACTGGGAACCATTTAACAGGAGGAACAGAGTTCCAGGGATGCAGCTGTACAGAATTCTGTTAACCAGGCTGAGCTGCTGGCCCTGGGGTGTGACTGCAGAGGTTCAATGTGCCCTCTCTGTGCAGCAGAGCCTGGGGACATGCTCTACATAACAGCCAGGAGCTCCCTCTGCACCTCTGCTCCTCCCCAGTGGTTCAGTGTAGGTCCAGAACTTAAATACTAAAATTCAGTCTTTCACTTAGCTTTTCAGCAGAGCATCAGTTACTCAGCTATGATATGCATCCAATCAATTCTGTTTTCTCCCACAGAGGAAAAATTTTATTTTCTCCTATCTAGCTAAGGATCTGTAATGTGTTTTCTATTGCTGAGCCACCTTTGCAGGATAACAGGCAAGCCCCTGTGACCTGAATGAGCTGCAGACACTGAGGACACCTACTCCAGCCTGGTTAGATCTTCAATCTCCTCAACTTCTGCACAGTGTTCTTCACACATGTACACCTGAAATGCACAGATACATGGCTGAAAATCGGGGGAAGTTCAGCTCCATTCCAGTACTGGGGACAACACCTGTACCTGTTCCTGCATGAACTCCATCTCCAGCATGTTGTCAGCAACATCTTCTGCCTCCCACTGGTCCTTGCAGACCCTCACACGGCTGCTGGTCAGCTGGGGCTCCTTGGAGATGGCCCATTTGCTCAGGTTCTCGATGGTTGGCTGTGGCAGCAGCTCAGAGTTCAGCCACGCTGCAGGGTCACATCCCTGCTGCTGGGACCAGTGCACACCAGGAGTGACCATGGCTCCTGCAGTCTGGAGGTCACCTGAACCCTCCTTGGTATCCACCTCACTGCAGTAATCTGATGTATGAAGTGGCCCCTCTTCTCGACGTGGGAGGAAGCCCTGCTCACTGTTTTGCTGGCTTGGATCCATCAGAGATCTGGGAAGGTCACATTTGAATCTGTGACTCCGTTGTGCAGGAGTGACAGATCTTCTCTCTGATGGAGATTTCATTTTCTGTAAGGAATAACCACTGCCAGAGCCCCTGGACAAGGAGTTCTTAGCCTTAACCAAGCTGTGGACTCTGGGGAACACTACAGCAAACTTGGCATCAGTAGCACTGTTCTTCTCATCTGAGCATGGAAAGGAACCGGTTCCATGAGCAGGGGAATCACCAGGAGCCAAATCAGTGTGTCCCACTTCCTCTATAATTTTAGGACCACCTTTCCCCTCCACTAATGCAGCAGAAGATTCTTTATCCCTCAGCTCAGCCCTCTCCAGCTGTTCAGCTGCACCAGGGAAGGCTTTGCCAGACCGACCAGCCCACCCAGCAGTGCTCAGAATCCGGATTGTCATTCTACTTCTGAATCCAAAAGGTTTGCTGCTCTTCTTCTTCTTCTTTCCAAATTTCTTCAAGAGCCATCTGGAGATACCAATTGCACGTGCCACACTCAGCAATCGAGCTTTCAGCCTTGCTTTCTTGGCAGGTTTTTGGCCAAGCCAGCTGGTGACTTTTCTAAAAGCAGAACGGGCGTGCAAGTGCTTGGATCCTTCCCCACCATACCCAGGTTCTGTTTCAGAAGGTGCCTCTGCAACCACTTCTTCTGCTTTCTCTTTTTTTGCCTTTGTAGACTGGCCTGAACTCTGTTTAACTTTTCCAATAACTTTTCCAACTTTCTTCTTCTTTCCAAAGAGCTGCTTATCAGACAATTCTTTTGTAATTGTGGAGCAGCTTGAAGTATTTAATCTTTTCTCTCCAAAACTCTGAGCTATGTTGGGTTCTTTCTGTTTACTGGGAGTTTCTAGAGTTATGGGTTTTGAACAGATGTTTGCAACATTGTTCAGGTCTGAGCTGGTTCCCAAAGCCATCTGGGCAGGATTTGGTTTCTGGTTTGGTGACAGTTTGATCTCAGTGTTTTTATGCTGGTTTTCCAGACTGAGGGGGATTTGGGATTGAGGACATTTCTTTGTAAGCATCAGAGCTGGTAGGTCCTGCCTGCTGCAGCCTGAACTGTCCCTCTGTCTATGTCCAGCCTCTTCACCTTGTTCTGGGATCTTGCATTTCCCAGCTTTCTCCTTCAATGTCTTCTGCTCCTTGGAGAGGAAAGATCCATTTTTCACCTGTGTGCCTTCATCACTCACCTTCTTTTCCTGTTCATATCTGCTAAGGTGAATGTGGAGTTTTGCTTTCACAGCAGTTGGGAGCGGTTCTGGTTTGTTTTCTTTTACTTCATCAATATTCTCTACAGGGTTGCTCTCCCCACTGCTGTCAGAATTCACTGGTCCATCTTTTGACATATCTCTGTCATTTTCTAGTATATTTTCCTTGTCTGCTTCAATATTTTTCCTGTCCTTAACACTCTTAACTGGGAGTCCTGAAATGCTTAACTGACCATCTGCCTCACTGCTCTCAGCTGGAGCACATTCCGGTTGTCTCAGCATCTTGTCTGGCTTCCTCATCCTCTCCTCTGCTTCCAATTCTGCAAATTCAGTGCCTTTGGCCTCAGATTCAATTTTTCCACTTGTGGTCACCTGCTCCTTTTCAGGTTCAATAGGTGCTTCCTTGCTTTCATCAGCCAGTTCCTTGTAGCCTTTTCCTTCACTCACAGGAGGATCTTTGAGCACAACTTCTTTCCCACTGTTGCCATCTTCCCCTGAAGAGCTGCTCTTCTCTTCACAAGAGCTGCTTTTCTCTTCACTGGAGGAAGTGCTGTCCACCACAGTCTCCTTTGTAGCTGTTCTGTGGGTTCCATGGCCTTCACTGCTGGAGTCAGAGCAGGAGTTACCTGAGGTTTCCAGAATATTTTCATCCTCACTTTCAGTAATGACAATCCTGGTAAGATTTTCAACTTGCTTTTTCCCAGTCCTCTCACCTTTTTCCTGTGCTGTACTGCCTTGGGATTGAGAACCTGATTTCTGCTCAGAAGCCTCCTTGAAGTCCCAATTCCCTCTGTGCCTTCCCCTGGGGTTCTGTGCCTTTTCTGCCAAGTTCTGTTTCTGAAAAGAGCCTTTAGCACCTTGTTCTGTGATAGCCTTTACAGCCCCCAGCTCAGAGCCTGTCTCACCAAGTCTCTTTCCACACCTCTTTTTAAAACTCCGTTTCTTTCTGTTTGTGATGGCTTTTCCCTCCTTGTCACTGCTGTCCTCAGTCTCCTGCCCTGATGTCATTTCCCTTTGCTTGAAAGCCTTTCCTTTTCTCCCCTCCAACCTGGACACGCCACATTTTCTCCCCAAACTGGATTCGCTTTTATCATTTCTCTTGCAGGCTCTTTTTTTTTGGAATAACTTCTTGTGGTCATTTTCTTTGCTTTCCTGAGGCCTCCCCAGCCTCTGGATTTTTAAGGGCTCTTCACCTTGTCCAGGCAGTGACTCTTTGGCCTTCACTTGGCCTCTGCTCTGATCTTCCCTCCACTTCCCACGGTGGATCTTTGAGTCTCCTGCAGAGTTTTTGTCACAAACCTGCTCTTTTCCAGCCTTCTTCTGCCGAGTCTTGGATCGGGAAGGAGGCATTTCCTCAGTGTTCAGGAATCTGTGAGGGTTTATCTCAACTCACCTGTGAAAGGAAACATTGTGCATTTTGCTGGGAAATAAGCTACAAAGGGAAGCCAGATGCTCCTGAGCAATAATTTGCTTTGTTTCTGTGGAGCCAAATAAATGTTTGCAGAGCCTTGCCTGTGCAGTGCCAAACTGACTGCCCTGTTCCAGGTTAATCTCTGCCTTATTTGTCTCAAATCACCCTGATTTTCTTCTTTTATCAGAATCATACCATCACAGGATATGATGACCTGGAAGGGACCCATCAGTACCATCCAAGTCCAACTCCCCAAGAATCCCATCATTAGGCCATGTGTCCATGATTTTCTACAGCTGACAAAGGTTTGGACTGGAACTGTAGTTCAAGTTAGAATGATTATTTTATTTAAGTTTCTGCTTCTCCAATATCCTTCTTTGTGCTGAAGAAGAGAGGAACACATCTAATGATGTGTGTGAAATAAATGTCAGAAGCAAACGCTGCTCCAGTGTGTCAAAACTTCTCCACTCAACTGCCCTGAGTGCACTGTCATTCCCTGGCAGGGTGGGAAATGTTCAGGACCCCAGGTGTTATCTCTTTATCTTTCCTCCAATCATATGTATGGAATAATGGATGTAAAAGTGCCCAAAGGATTGGTCCTGATCTTTCAGACTGATGCAAAACCTCACTTCTATCCTTTCCAGCTATCCAGACCCTTTATGAGTCAACCTCTTGCTGCTTCAGACGTGCCACTGGGGCCCCTGAGAGTGAATGAAGTGCTGATGGTGGAGCCTGGGTTTGGGTCCCCAACACCAAACACTGCAAGGAAGGCTCCAAACCACAAAACACTGAGAGTGCAACTGAAAGGAAATGATGGATCAGAGGAAGGAAAACTTGGACTAAGGGAAAAAAAATCTTACGGCAAGGAAACGCATCAGTCTGCACCATCTTCCCAAAGAAAAAAGATAAAAAGGCTTTTGTTGGGGCTATTTGAGTCTATCTTGGAAATTTCTTTATCCAGTGACGGGCAGGGACCAAACCAGCACAGGGGACAGGGAAATTCCATTATAGATCCTCTCATCTCTTTCTCTGTTAAAGTCTTCTCTCCATTTTCTCCTTTTCCTTTCTCTCAGTTTTTCAGCCAGCTCTGTGGATTCTCCACAGAGAAGAGAAACTTCAGCCATCACAGGTTTACAGATTCTCTCAGTGGGTAACAGAGGATGGAGCAGTCAGGATTTTGTTACTGATTCATCCTAACTTCACCAAGCATTGACTTATTTAAAGGCTGAAATCCATCATCTGGAAGCCTCCAGTCACATGTTAGACTATTATGGGATGCTGGCAATGTATTTACCTGTCTGGCACTCTGTCCCTGCACCCCAGTAGCTGAGGGTACAGTGTCTGTACATAGGCTATGAGCCCAAAAGAGTTTTGGCCAAGGTTTCCTGGAACTTCCATCCACAGGCATCTCCTTGCCCCAGGGAAGGGGATGGGGGAAAAGCACACAGTCAAGATTGCAATTCAGCAAGCTTTAAAAGCTTTAAAACTTTATAGCTGCTATAAAGTCTGTCAAGGAATGAGAATTTTTAGCACTTAGTACCTCAAGAAAGATGGAAATCCAGCCACTCTCCATAAAATCTTATGACCTGATTGCAGACTGAAACTTGTCCAAGTGTATTTACAAGTTATTAAAATAAAATTTGAAAAAAGGCCATTAAAAAGTACATTCCAGTACTCTGGGAACAACTCTGTAAGATAACATGCAGTGAATCAAGGAGTTTGTCTCACCTCAGTCACTCTAAGGAGGGCAGCAAAAGCACATTTGAGATTTCCACAGCTCAGGAAGGATGATGTTCTAAGAAAAGCACATTGTGTGTGTGCAAAGCACAGGGGTTTATTGCAAATATTGGTTCATTTTCTGTACCACCTATTTTGTGCTGTTCTGCACCACAGAACAATCTGCAATGGAGAAAAAAAAATTAAAAATGTATCTCCCTTTCCCCCAGCTGCAACTCTAATACTGAAGCAAAAAGCTGCTGCCCTGAAAGCAGTTACACACATTAAGGGCTCCCCAGCAATGTGTCCTTAGGGTTCCCTCTAAACTTGCTTTTTTGGATCTGGTCTAGAGTTGACTCTGTTCAAACCCTCCTGGATACTCTGCACAGTGCAGAGCTCATCTCTTAACACCAATCCTCTTCCCTAGGTGTCTGGTCACCTCATTTCAGCCTCTCCCCTCCCCATCTCTAGGCCCCAGTACTCCTGGCCTAGATCTCTAAATCCTGCAACAAGACTTTTGTTACTGAGATTAATGGCAGCTGAATTAGACCCTAAATCCTCAGTACAGAATAGTTGTTAATAATCTGTCCTCCTGGGGGCTTATAGTTGATTCAGCTTCTCTACAGTGCCAAATGCAGGAGAAAAGAATAAATAAAAGTCTGCTTTTATGTGCTGTGGCTAGATAGTCATGTGTCTGCAGAGCTAAAGCCTTCCACAAAACAAAAATGCTGAAATTCTTGGATAAGGAGGAAGGTCAGGAGCACTGCCCAAATTTGTAGGGAGCTTAGACACAGGAGTTTGGTTTGACTCACTGTAAAGACAGGACCCCAGACTGAATCTGGGTTAGAAAGTGAAAAACTGAAGTTTACAATTCTTCAGAGACAGGGTTTTAGAGCAGACTGGTTTGTAACACCACTGTTATTACTGGGAATGGGAAGATGAATCACTGTTTATATAAACAATTCTTCTGACATCAGACCTGCTCTGATTAACTGCCCTGGACCATCTGCCTGCTGGACACATTGCAGCAGGTGAAAGATGCTGCTCATCAGTTTTTCAGCTCCCCTCAGCACAGCAACTTCACCTAAATCACTACAGGAAAAAGAACAATTCTGTGGCATTCTCCCCTTTTTAGAAGAAATGAGAATAACTCACATCAGAGAAATAAGATCTTCAGTGCTGTCAAGAATCACAGCATGAACCGACAGATAAAAAGAAGAGCAGAAAGCTCACGCTGCTATTTTAAGACCAAGAGGGAATTGTCTGTCTTCCCTGAGCACAGTGGATTCTCCCAACTCATACAGAGGAAAGTACAATCATTAATATTAAAGGAACCTGCCTGGAACTTAAGAATTAAGTTTCTATTTTCATTCACTGTACAAATTGCTCAAATCCCTTCTTATATCAGCACAGTGATTTTTTTGTAACGTACCTACATGGATTCCAGCAAGCTGCCCCGTCCCTGGATCACAGCTCACATCCATGCAGAGGTAACATATTCCCTCTCCCATGCCTTCTTTCCATGCAGCCCAGGGTCTGCTCCAGAGTTCCTGCAATCCTGCCCAGCTGTGGAGTCTAACAGGGATTCTGGCTGGGCTGTGCCCCAAGAGCAGATAATTACACGTATATGGAAGGAAAGTGGCATCAATAATTCAAGCTAATCCCATGGTACCTTTTGAACTTCTCAACCAGCAATATCAGCAGCTGGCTTGCAGAGTTTGGGATAAAAGAAGAGGTGGGATTTCACCTAGGTCAGGTGAATGTGGTATGATTAGGTGCACCCTCAAAGAAAGACTGAAAGGGTCAATTCCAAAACTAAAACACATCTGCTATAAAGCAAGAGGCTGCCAGACAAGGCACAGTGAAAACTACCTAAAAAAAAAAAAAAAAAAGCTTAGGCCAGTGAAAATAATTAAATCATAGGTCCCTTTCTTCTGCAGCCCTGGAGTTTTATTCCAGGGAGCCAAGCATGGATAGCTCAGCCTCTGCTCTCTCCTTGCCAATACCCAGCTTGGAAACAGGAAAGCAGTTTCCAGCTGCTCACTGAAAAGACAGCAAAACTGGCACCATTTTTGCCCTCATTATGCCTAAATCTCAGTCCAAATCAAGCAGAATGACTAAATCTCCTTTCAACTCGAATTTCCAAATATTCTCTTGCAGACAGGATGAGGTTACTCACAGCCAGTGCTTATGTCCATGAAACTCTGTTTAATTCAGGGATGGTTTTGCCCTGCCTGGGTTGTTCTCAAGAAACCAGGTAACAGAGCAGGCACAAATGCTCAGTGTGAGCTGTACGTGCAGCCTCCCCCTGCTCTCCCCAGGCTGCAAAGGGAGAGCAGGATTCAACTGCTCTGAGGATGTCCCTGGTTCTGGAAGGTTTCCTGCCCCCTCCCAAAAAGCCTTTCCACAGGAGCTGGAGGTTAAACAAAATGAACTCAGGTCTGTCCAGCCACCACAACAACAAGTGGCCTAAACATGAAATGTGTTAAGATTTTAGATGCTTTGCAGCATTAGTTTGGGACCTCTTTGTCCCTCATCTCCTTCCAAGAACCCCTGGCTGTTACGTTCTGTATCTTGAGGACTCCTCCATTAAGAAGCAAAGATAAAAACTGGGGATTGAGCTGGAGAACTCAAGAAACATTTTACCTGAGCCTTCTGTCCCTGGATGCTCCACTTCTCTTAGTTCACAAGAATGAGGCTGTAGAGCAACAGTGTAGTTAGTTATTTTATCACATTCTTTTATTAACTGTCCACAAATAAGTCTCTATCCCTCTCTGCAGAAAAGAGAAATCTCTCCTGTAAAGCCCAGAATGACTGATGGCATCTGAAACATTAATTCCTCAACAAATCTTGGAGAAAAGCCCCAGGGCTCTTGGCTCTAAGCTTCTGATGTGTGTGTGTGTGGCAGGGAGGAGAAGCTGCTCTGAAAAATTCAACTCTTGAGGAGGAAATGTCTCTAACAAACTCCATCAGCATCAGCTGGAGCCTCTTCAAGGCTCTGCATAGCCCAGGCAGCACCAGAGCTGCTGCTTTGATTTGTGTGATTTGTCAGAAGCCTCAGATATTTGGCTTTCACCCAGGGATGGCTGAGATGAAGCCACTGATCACATTCACTTCAGATTCCTGTCTGCTCTAAGCTACCTGAGATGAGAAAGGCTAAACTGGTGCTGTGCAGATATTCCCTCCCCAGCCCAGTCTCCAGCCTGGCTGTCCCAGCACCTCT